TGTTCTATTAAACCCTGAATCATAATATAACGTCCTTCTCTGTTTTTCTTTTTTTTTTTTTTTTTTACTATCATCTATCATTTTGTGTTTTTTTTTTTTTTTAAAGATTTATTTATTTATACAAGCACTGGGTACAGTCAGAAGCGCAGGAGGGTGAGAGAATTCACCAGAGCCAGAGCGGGGAGCAGAGCAGAGCAGGCAGAAGTACACTGCTGAGGGGAGCAGCGGGCGGCAGGAGAGGTCCGCGCGCCATGTGGGACCCTCCTCTGGTGGCCGAGGAGCAGCCGGGAATTGAACCAGCGCTGCAGAAGCTGCGAGCAGCTTCGCAACACAGCGCTCAACCGCTGCACCACCCGGGGAGGCTCCATTTTGTGTTTCTATTGGCAATGGATGAGAGTGCCTCAACTCTCTTCAGCCTTGTCAATAATGGCAGACTTTTATATTTAGTTTTAGCCATTTGAATAGAATATGCCCTTAATTTGTATTTCCCTTGTGACTAATAATGTTGAATCTCTTTTCACATTCTTATTTGCTCTTTGTACACTTTTTGGGTAAAATGTCTGTTCAAATATCTTGTCCAGATGTTTTTCATCTTTTATTGACTCATAAGAGTTCTTTGTATTTTGTCTGATAGAAGCATACGTAGCTTTACTCGCTTTTTAAAAAATTAACATTTGCTTCTAGGGTTTTCTGCCTATCTTTTATGATAAACTTGCTTTTGTCTTTAGAGCTAAGATGAGTTTCTTATAGAGAGCAAAAAGTTGGATTTTGTTTTCTGATCCATTTAGCCACTCTCTACCTTGGGGTATTTGAACCTTTTCCATTTAAAGTAAATGTAAGTATTGAAATATAAGTATTGCCTTGTATTTTTGAGTGTTTTCATATTTGTTTTGTTCTTCTGTTTTACTCTTCTCTTGCATTTTGATATCTTCCTTTTGTGTTATGTTTGAGTTTCCCTAGAGGTTCCTATGTGTTTCTTCTATGAATTTTCATTTTGAGGTTATCCTGAAGTTTATGTGTAATATTTTATACTTGTGCACTGTTGATCAGATTCATCTAAAACTCATTCTGATGGCCCACATTTTTGCTCTCCTCCCCTTCCACATTGTATGTTGTTTGGTATCTTCTGCAAGAGGTAGAATTTCTTTTCATAAGATTCCCTTTAGTATTCTTGCAAGGCCAGTTTAGTGATATGAATTCTTTTGATTTTTTTTATTCCTCCTTCAATTGTGAAAGATAGTTATCAGGATAACGTATTCTTGGTTGGAAATCCTTTTCTTTTGGGACTGTAAATATATCATGTCATTTCTGGGCCATGTGGTTTCTACCAAGAAATCCACATATCATGTTATAGGGATTCCCTTATTTATAACATTTTTTTCTGGACACTTTTAGTATTCTTGCCTTGTCGCTGGATTTTTAGCAGTTCAGTTATTATATATCTCTGGTGTGCTTGCTTGGATTTATTTTGTTTGGAACTCTTTGGGCCTCTTGGGTAAGGATGTCTGTTTCCTTTCCCAAGTTAGGGAGATTGTTGGCTATTATTTCTTTCTTTCTTTCTTTTTTTTTTTTAAGATTTATTTATTTATTTGTACAAGCACTAGGGTATAGTCAGAAGCACGGGACGGTGAGAGAATTCACCAGAGCCAGAGCGGAGAGCAGAACAGGCAGACTGACGAAGCACACTGCTGAGGGGAGCAGCGGGCAGCAGGAGAGGTCTACGCGCCATGTGGGACCTTCGCCCAGTGGCGGGGGATCGAACCAGAGCTGCAGAGGCTGCGGGCAGCTTTGCAACCCAGCGCTCAACCGCTGCACCACCGGGGAGGCCCTATTATCTCTTTAAATTAAACTTCTGCCCCTTTCTCGTTGTCATCTCTTTTTCTGGGACTCCTATAATGTACTATAGTCTTGTTTCTCTTAGAATTATCCCACCAGGCTCTTAGTCTACCTGCATTCATTTTACCTTTATTTATTTACTTTTTAATTTTCAAGGTTTTTTTAATTAAGCTTTTTTTTTTTTTACATGGTTGTTCATTTTTGTACAATATTTCATTTCTCTCTTCAGGTGTAGTGCCCATGAATCTCCAATTACCACATCACCCATGAACTGTCACCATGGAATTCAGTTTAATTCTTTTCCTTTTGGCTGATCTATTTGTGTGTTTTCCATTAAATGTGTTCAAGTTTGCTGATTCTATCAGCTGCTTCCTCTTGTCTACTGTTGAGCCTGTGTATTGTTTATTTTAGCTCAGTTGTAGAATTCTTTAAGTCTATTTTTTTGTTTGAAGTTTTCTTGTATTTTCCCAGTTATTGTTGTAGCTCTTATTTTGTTTGCTGACTGTTTTTCTTAGTATTTCAACAAGTATAGTTAGGACTGTCACTTTAAACTTTTCTTAAGGTAAATTACCTAGTTCTTCTGGATTTACATTTGTTTCTGGGGTTTTTTTTTTGTTCTGTCATTTGTAGTATATTCGTCTGTCTTCATTTGTAGTTTTTATGATGGAGGTAAACAGCTTTCTTTTCTTGACTTGATGTGTTGGCTTTATATTAAGATTACAGGTTGCAGGGTATAATCCTAGGTTGTTTGCCCAGGATCCTGGAGTGTCTGTTGCTTTATAGAATGATGCCTCTGCACCTGTTTGGTGGCTGGAGCTTTAGTGCCAACAATGGGTAGCTGTAGCAGTGAGGATCCAAGAGGTTGCTAGTAGAGAGTACCAAGAGGTAAAGCCACTTCAGGGATTTGGGTGCCAGAGCTAAGGGGAAGTTTGCAGTAACATTCCCGACAACCCCTCACTTGGTCAATCAGAGCTTCCCCAGTAGCCTCAAGTAAGCAGTGGTCCAGTTACTGGTTTGTAGGTTCTGTGACCGGTAGTTTTTCACAGTGATAAGGACAGAAGCAGAGTGATCTGGGAACTGTGGGTTTGAACTGCAGACAAGCCACTGTCCCAAATGCTATCACAGGCAGATAGGTAGTCTGTGTTTCTCAGCGTTTGTAGGTGCAGTCTGTAAAAGATTGCCTCTCTTGCGGGCCCCTTTCAAGCCTTTCTCAGGACTTGTGGCACAGGATGGGCATGTGTAGGGTTAGAGCTTATACTTTTTTATTTAACCAAAAGATTATTATATTTGTCATTCACTTCTATTTCATATTATAGTCATTAAACAAAGTCTTTATGATACTGATCTTTTGGAATTTATTGCAGTTTCCTTTGCAACCTAGTGTACAGTTGATTTTTTGAATTTGTTCTAGGCTCATTCTAAAATAACAAATACTGTTTGGTGTACTATTATTTCTCAATTTTCTTTCCTTTTTTATTTTTTAAAGATTTATTTATTTATGCATACAAGAACTAGTACAGACCAGAGGTGCAGGGGGGTGAGAGGATTCACCAGAGACAGAGTAGGGAACAGAATAGGCAGATTGACTGAAATACACTGCTGAGGGGAGCAGTGGGGGAGACAGGAGAGGTCTGCTGCACCATGTGGGCCAGGATCAAACTCTTATAAAACTATAAAAACTTTATATATATGTATATATACATGCATAACTTATATAATGCATAAATGCAATTAATATACATGCTTTTTTTTTTAGTACAGACTTTTTCCCACATTTTATTTTTGAGCTGTCTTTGTACCCTCATACGCAGTTACACACACACACACACACACACACACACGCCTCATGCATCTCACACATTTCTTATACCAATGATCATATGAAGCATATCTGTTTTTCACACATGTATTACTTTACCAAAATGGGTTTATAAGTTTATCTAAGATCAAACAGCTAATAAGTGATGAAGTATTATGTGGGCCTGGAAACAAGTCTCCTGACTTTCTTTAGAGAGTGATGCTTTTCTTCTTTAGTCCTCTTTGCTTTGCTATAGTGGATATTTTATCAGTGGTATTGAGCTGAGCTGTGCCGTTCTGTCTTATCTTTTTATGCTGTGAAAACAAAACTCCTTGACTTCTACTCAGACTTCAGTGCCCAAATCTTAACCAAGGACTACAAGATCTCTCCCTTTCTTATCCTCCCCTTCTATTTAACCTCCTTTTGTTCTCCCTTCTGCTAAATGAAGCATCTTAATATTCTTCCAACATGGTGGGTTCCCCTGTTCACTAGGGAAGCCTTCCCCCAAGTGACTTGTTCATCCCTTCGAATCTTTGTGCAGAGGTAGCCTTCTCTGTTAGAGTTCTCTTATTTAAAAATCCATGTTGTTGCACATTATATAAACATCCCAGGCCTTTTCCTTTCATTGTTTTTTACTGTCACCACTCAGCACAACATTTCTACAATTTATTATTCATAATATTATTGTCTGCCATTCCTTTCTATGTTGTTGTTCCAGTGCCTGGCACAGCATATGGTTCAATAAATGTTAGTTGAATGAGTGAATATAGGAAGGAAATGTAATTGATTAAACAAAACTTTGCTACTAACACTTGATTGTTTTTAATTAAGTTTAACATTTAAAGTACTTTTAGTCAGGAGTGCTTGTTCATGAATCATGTGGAAATTTACTTTAAATCCCTATATGTGTTTACTTTAAATCCCTAGATGTGTTTAAGATTTTTTCATAAGTAGTTGTACATATCAGTTTGTGTAATATTGACATTCTCAGAAAGAAAATATACTTCTGGTTAAGATAACAATGCATATTCTTTGTGACACTGAGTTTGTTTTAATAAACAAAGCAACTTAAAGTTGATAGCAAATTTAGTTTTTCTCAAAATACTACCTGAGATCTTATTTAATTCTTTTTTCTATAGAATGTTTGTCTTATGTAACCACCAGATGAACATTGAAATATTGAGGGGGAGTAGTTGGTATTTTAAGAAATGATTATGAACCATAATTTCATTTTCATATTTTGCAATGTTATCAGTTATAATCCTTTTTATGATTAATTTTATCTTATATTTGTCTTCAAATAGTAAACTAGGAATTTACTTGATTTGCTTTTAAAATATTTTTTAAATCTTTTCTTTTCTTGTAGATTTGCTTTGGGTCACACTGATAAGAAATATGGATTCGCTGTCAATAACTTCACCCGAGAAAGAGATTCTTTTTTCTTACTAGAAAAAAACAGATGACTGGTGGAATCATGCTGATGGCAGCTCTGCATCTTTTTGTGTCATTAATTTTTTAAACCTACAAGACAAATGACTTGTGCTTTAAAGAAAATGAGTTGTTCATGGACATTATTTTTACCAGTTTTTATACAATCTTTTTCCTCTTAAATCGCACGACTCTCCTATGAAATTTAACACATACAGAACTCTTTAAGTCTTATTCAAAATAGCTTTCTTTTTAAGTTTTTAAACCTTGAATATTTATGCACCTTATTTTTACTTGACAAAGTCCTCAAAATTTCACAGCATCAGGAAAGATATGGACTTGGATACTTATGTTATTATAATAGACTACAGTGAATTTAAGTGGATCATTCAAAACATCATCTGTTTCATCATCAGAAATCTCACTTAAATATATAATTCTTAGCTTTCATGCAAACAAAGTCGCTTGAAAATGGCATGGGTAAAATTCTTACGGAAACCTAGTGGCAATCTTGGAAAAGTTTACCATGGGAGCATGGTATCCCTGGCCCCTACCATAGGCTTGTTCAATGAACCAGGACAAAACAGCTGCTTCCTTAATAGTGCTGTACAGGTAAGATCATAGTTATTTGTTGAATTTTAAAAAGTTCTTTTCAGGAAACCCTTTGTTTTATTCTTCTTTAATTCGAATATTAAGAATAAAATTATTCTTGGCTGGAGTGACTTTTTAATATCACTTTAATGGTAACAAAAGTAATTTGACTGCATTTTGGCTATAAGTGGAAATGGGTTTAACAGAATTGATATATTACCATGATATTAAAATATCTTTTAATGTATGATGTTTACTTAGTAAATTAACTTGTTTCTAAAATTTGTAAAAAATATTTTCTGAATCAGGTAACCTATGCCCCCACCCTGCCCTCGCTTTCTTTTCCTTAAAAAATAAAAAACAAAATAAATAAATAAGTAAAAAACAAGCAAAACATAGATTGCATAAAAAGAAATAAGCTGGGCCTCCCCTGGTGGCGCAGTGGTTGAGCGCAGCCTCTGCAACGCCGGTTCGATCCCTGGCCACTGGCGAGGGTCCCACAAGGCGCACAGACCTCTCCTGCCGCCCGCTGCTCCCCTCAGCAGTGTATTTTGTCAGTCTGCCTGCTCTGTTCCCCGCTCTGGCTCCGGTGAATTCTCTCACCCTCCTGCGCTTCTGACTGTACCCAGTGCTTGTATAAATAAATAAATAAATCTTAAAAAACAACAACAACAACAAAAAAGAAATAAGCTGCTTGGACTGAAATGAGAATACACAGTTTTTAATCTCAGTATTCAAACTCCCTTCACTTCCCCACTGTGGATCTTAAATCTTCTCTGTGTAGTAATTTGAGCATCACTGTTGTAGTTGAGTCAAAACTTAATCTACTTGGCTTCAGTCCTTACTGAAATTCTTTTAATTGGTGTATATATTAGTATGTGTGTGTTCAGTCTCACACATTGCAGTTTTCACATCGAGAATTGTGATTTGCGTCTTTTAAAAAATTGTTCACATCAATACTTAATATATCTAGTCTTTTCTCTAACCTGTTGAATGTCTGAAATTCAATTATAATAATTGTTTTAATGTACTTGTCTGCTAATTTTATCATTCATGCACATTCTGGGTATTTCTGTTGATTTTTTACCTCTCCATGTTTTGGAATATATTTTCATGTTTCTCTCAATGCCTGATAATTTTTCATTGACTGTTAGATTATTTGAATATTAGCTTATTGGGTAATAGATATTTTTATATTCCTTAAAATATTCCTGATTTTGGTTAAATCAAATATCTAATTTTATTGGGAAACAAGTTTGAGCATTTTATTTTTGTAGTGCCAGAACTATATTTATAAAGCAAATTCTGCAATGACCTTTAGTTATTGGGTAAGTGAAATTAGAGGAAACTTGTTAAAATCATTTTCTTAACTAACCTTTGTTTTTAGTTGGGAGAAATGAGAGAGATATTGGTTATATCATTTGGGGAAATGACTGAGATGTAGAGAAAGTTGAAGGTCTTATTTTTGTTTTTGTAATAGTCACTACAGCAACAAGTATAGCTGCCATTCTTTGCATGCCAATTATGTAGGGCACTGCTCTAAACACTTTATATGTTATTCTGTATTATTTCATCCTCACAAGAACTCTTTGAGGCAGGCATATGCCTCATTGTATAGAATTTATTTATTATCCACATTGTATAGACTTCAGGTTTTCCAGAATGATTCATTTCAACGTTTACCTTCTTCTTTTTTTTTTTTTTTTTGGTTTATCTTGTTTTTGTCTTACAGCAAATATGTTCAAAATATGTAACTACTATTTTTACCAAATTTTATCCCCACTGTCACACAGTATCCAGTGACTGGCAAGCTTCTGCTCACCCTTTTTTCTTGCCATGTTGTACTGACCCCTATTTGGTATACCCTGGCCTTTAGTGCCAATTATATTTCCTTCCCAAATTCCAGTTGGTTCCAAGTATTTATAATCACTTCCTCTTTTATGTCTGCCAAGTTCTCCATTCAGTAACCCATATTTCCTTTTCATATAAAATTTTTAACTGAGGAGTTAGTTTTTTTTCTCTCGCTATGCCCAACATACTTTTAACATGTAAATCAATAGAAATATCTCCAAATTAGCAGTTTTTTTTCTTGCTATTATTTTTAGCAGTGATGTATGTATAATTATGTACAACAGATTAGAAGTTATTTACTAGCTTCTGCAATTTAAAAAATATTTAAATTTGTCTTTTATCAGTGAGAAAAATGTTAACTGTGTTTTTTTTTCATCACGTATCACTGTTTTTTAGGTCTTATGGCAATTGGATATATTCCGACGAAGCTTGCGGGTTCTGACTGGACATTTTTGTCAGGGAGATGCTTGCATATTTTGTGCATTGAAGGTAACCTTTCAGTTATTGTGAAAAATTACTGTCAATTTCCCCCCACCAAATTTAATTTTATTTGACACATGTTGGGTTAGTTTAGTAATTGTATTTCAAGTTCATTGACAAGTGACTTATTTTTGAAGATGAATTCTTAGAGTGTAGCTTATTCTGATATGTGGTTTTATTTTCCACTTATATATAAGGAAGAGTTAAAATTAATATTGCCAATAGTATAAAACTGTTAGGAATATTACATTGTTCATTAATTTGCTATAAATCTTTATCATTTTAACAAGTGTTTTTGAGCTACTGTTGAATTCTGGGCATTAAGGACACAGCAGTGAGCAAAATTGATGAAAATGCTTTTCCTCATGGAGCGTATAAGTAAGCAGAGTGTAGAGTATGTTGAAAAGAGGGGGCAGATTAGGGAAAGGAAATAGAGTGTTCAGTGGCCAAGAAAGCCTGACATAGAAAGTGACACATTTGAAAGAAGACCTAGAAAAGGAAATGGAGTGGACTAGAGCATTCCAGACAGCAACTGAGGCCACTGAGGTGGCAGAGTGGGTGACATGTTCAGGGAAACAGGCAGGAGGAGCTTTGTGGTGCAAAGGGGAGAGAAGATGAGAGTAGACAATGAGCTCAGAACTAAGGCGTGATGGCTTTAAAATTACCTGTCTGGGGCCTCCCGGGTGGCACAGCGGTTGAGTGCTGGGTTGCGAAGCTGCCTGCAGCCTCTGCAACGCTGGTTCAATCCCTGGCTGCCGGGCGAGGGTCCCACCTGGCGTGCAGACCTCTTCTGCCACCCGCTGCTCCCCTCAGCAGTGTATTTCCTCAGTCTACCTGTTCTGTTCCCCACTCTGGCTCTGGTGAATCCTCTCACCCTCCCACACTTCTGACTGTACCCAGTGCTTGTATAAATAAATAAATAAATCTTTAAAAAAATTTAAAATAAAATAAAATTATCTGTCTGCGGATTCTGTTGTGCTCTTCCTATCAAAAGGTGGAGTATAATTCCTTAAATGTCTGCTGACCTTAATGATCATTTCCATTAAAGTTCTGTGTTACTTCCACTGGGCTATCTCTCAGGATGTTGCCATGCTGGGCGGAGGCCAAACCCATTTGTTACCAAAATCAGTAGCAGTGTTACCTTTTTCATTAAGTTTTGGGTGGTGAATTGCAGAGCAAGAAATAACTGAAACAGGAGTATAGATTGTGTAGGGTGCCTTCTCTTGAGTGACTTGGGGAGGGATAGAATCTGTTTTAAGTAGATAAAATGTTTGAATATGTCCATGTATTTTGCTGTTTGAGAATAAATGGAGGGAAACAAAGGCAGAAAGAAGGAGGTCCAGTACATATTAGCAACACATTTATGTCACTGAAACTTTTGCCCAACCACTTAAGATGAATGTTAGTGTCACTTGAATATTTATAACACATATACACCTACATATAGAAAAATAAAAGTACATTTTCATGCTTTATTTTCTTCATGTTCCTGAAAAGGTTGTTTAAATAATTTTTCAAAAGAGACAATTTTATATTCTTGTGATTAGAAGAGAGTAGCCATACACAGCCAAATAGGGTTATTGTTATGGGATGAAGAATGAACTTAGATTAGATTATAATATTACATTTTGTTCCCTCCCAATGAATTTTGAATATTTTGTCTAATCGTAAATTAAATCTTCTAGCCCAAATCTTTCATAACTCTCACAATTATCTGCCTCTTCCTCCTGCTTGCTTCATCCCACCCAAAACATGCATTCACCCACATGCACACACATGCCCATGTACCCACTGGCGCACGCTGTTCTTCAGACTGGCCCCCTGCAGCTTCTCAGAGCTGACATCCATCTCAGAGTGCTTTCATCATTAATCCCTTTGTCTAGAATGATTTCTTTCAGTTGTTCTTGTGTCTAACACCCTTATTTCCTTTATGCTTCTCCTCAATGTTATTTTTCCATCAGTGAGATCTTCCTTGACTACTCTAGGTGAAAGGTAAGCTCCCTCCCACCATCCTATCCCCACAATCCTTATCCCCATTACACTACTTTATTTTCCTGTCTTTTATATCTTTACTTCTTTCTATTGTATAATTACCACTTGCTGACACATTCTGTATTACTTGCCTTCTCCCCATTAGAACCAGAATATATGGTCCACAAAGACAGTCTTTGTTTTCTAGCATAGAACAGTACCTTGTTTGTGTATATACTAGCAATCCAAAAGTGTTACAGTACAACCCCAATGTCAAATGGGTTGGCCTGACTCTGGGTCCTTACCCGCACACTTAAAGGGGACTTATAGTGAGACTCAACCACAGGTACACACAAAAAGGGTAGTAAAGGGTTTATTTAACAAAAGGGGAAAATGAAGAAATGAATAACTCAGGGAGAAAGAGAGAGATAAATTGGTGACTACATCCTACCCGTTCCGCTGATCTAGAAACCCAATAGCACACTGAAAGCCAGAGAAAAACCAAGGGCCCCCAAGACCCACATGTCTGGTGATATACCAAACCTGGCTGCTTAACTCCACCCGCAGTTTTCAGCAATCCTCCCTTCGGTGGTGATGACATTATGGGATTGGTGTCTTGGATCTCTTCGGTCTGAGGTGGGCTCCATAAAACCTATTTGTGTAGTTTGTTCAGGACATCCTTTCCCCCCAACAATTGAAGACAGCTAATGAATGACTGTCTTTTTATCTAGTGGGTTTGTACTGATGTTTATGCAGTTGTATGTTTGTGGTTAATGTGCATTTAGATTTAAAGCCACTCATCTCAGAATACTTCCTTAAACAGCCTGCATCAGAATCGAGGGGGAGTAGTTTAATGGGTCGCACCTCAGACATTACTCAGTTGAAATCTCTGAGGATGGAGCCCGAGAATTTTATACTTATTTCTTATGCACCTCATCATCTTATTTTAGAGGTTGTTGCACCATTTTTACACATTACTCATACAAAAACTTTTTAACAGAATTTTAGAGCAAAGGACTGTTTATGTTACTCTGAGTTTAATGTTTTCAGTTCCACTATGTTGTAATGAACTTATCTAACTGGTTTTATAGTTGTTGGTGTTGAACTTATCATTGTGTTTCTTGGTTCCCAGACAATATTTGCACAGTTTCAGCACAGTCGAGAAAAAGCACTTCCCTCGGATAACATAAGGCACGCTCTGGCAGAAAGCTTCAAAGATGAGCAGCGATTTCAACTTGGCCTGATGGATGATGCTGCCGAGTGCTTTGTAAGTATTTCTGGGTACTGAACTGGGCAGTGGATGCATGTCTCCCTCATCAGTGCTGTTTAACTCCACCTGTGCTTTGTGTAACTTTTGGTTTTGATGATTTGTGCTGCTCTAATTTTTATTGACTGTTAGATCAGCTACTGGAGTATTTTAAAATCTATTTATTGAAGCAAAAAAGGCTTATTAAACATAAAATGTATCACTTATGACAGTGTTCTGCCTTCACAGGGTTTATGTGTATAGCACACTCCCAGCAGTAACATTTTCCTTTCACGCAATGATTCTATTTGAAATAGAAGCAGCAACATGGATGGAAAAGGAAAGGGATCATGCTTAGCGAAATAAGTCAGAAAGAAAAAGAACAATACCGGACGGTCTCACTCATAGCAGGAATTTAGAAAACCTAAATAAGGGACCAGGAAAAAGACTAATTACCACAAAGTAAAAATCAAAATCAACAAGCAGCTATAAACCAGAGACACACTACGGGGGGGAGAGGTAAGGAGAGGAAGGACTAGACTCAAAGTAAGGGGGGTGCAATTATATGGGGAATATAACCAAAATGAAAATGCATACATTGTGCAAAAATGAAAAATGATGTAAGAATTATATAAAATAAAATATTAAAAAAAAGAAATAGAAGAGGGTCTTGGTGGGCAGCTATTGAGGGCAGTAGTTGTGACATACACCTCACTCCAAGTTGAGAGTAGAAGTGAGGTTGATGTTCTGAGGCTGTGTTACCCCCACATTGATAAGTTGAATGTTCTCGTGATCAGGATCCTACCTACACACTTACTAAAATATGTATGTTGGGCCTCCCCGGTGGCGCAGCGGTTGAGCACTGGGTTGCGAAGTTGCCCGCAGCCTCTGCAGCGCCGGTTCGATCCCCGGCTGCTCCCCGGCCACCGGAGGAGGGTCCCACATGGCGCGCAGACCTCCCCTGCTGCCCGCTGCTCCCCTCAGCAGTGTACTTCGGTCCTTCTGCCTGCTCTGCTCCCCGCTCTGGCTCTGGTGAATTCTCTTACCCTCCCTTGCTTCTGACTGTACCCAGTGCTTATATGAATAAATAAATAAATCTTAAAAAAAAAACAAAACTCCCAGACATTTAAAAAAAATAAAGTATGTATGTTAATTGTTAAGTGTTTCAATAATATAGATGTCGCCTGTGTTTAAGCTGTGGAACCGTTTCTTCTCCTAGTTCTCTGCAGCATCAGCAAATTTTGTGAATTCTAGCATTGGGAATCCCTTCTAAGGTTTCCGTTGTTATTTTATGTCTCTTTCAACACTTCTTCCTACTTCAGTCATCTAAGCATTGTTTGAGCCTCCTTACTGGTATCCTTTCGGCCTGTCTGCTTATAGTCTAGTTTTCAGTGCCACAAGATTAATTTTCTTGAGAAGAGTGCTTATCTTCAAATATGTCTGTGATTCAAGTCAAAACTCTCATCTGACATTGAAGGCCCTTTACAATTAAACTCCAACTGACTCTTGGCTTCTCTTCTGAATTTTCCCTCCAGTGAGATGATTCCATACTGTTTCTTAAACACATATTTTAAATTCCTGCTTTCACAACCTTAGATCAAGTTCCTGTGAAACAGTCAAACAGTCAAAATGGTCAAAACTTTCCTAATTGATCATTTGGTTAAGTGTCCCTCTAAGTCATACTGTTTAGATAATGCGTGACCAAACCACCCCAATCATTCTCTGAATTTCTATAGACTTAACTTTGTGTAAAATTCATTTGACATCCGTATGTGATCATTTTTTTAATGCACATTTTTACTCTTTCTATAGACTATGATGAAAGCGATCCATCACTAATGCAGTGCTTAGCAGACTTGCCGGGTTGATTAAAATGTGTCAAAATGAGCAGTCATGAAATATGCTATTCATACTTCTTACAATTAATAGTTTAAAGCATAAATAAAAATATTTTGTACAATATTGAACTTTATAGTTTTACTTTCACGTAAATGTACTAATGTGTAATATAATTCATAGAATACCTAGAAATTCAGGCTTAAACAATAGGATGATTTTATTTTATTTTATTTTATTTATTTTAGGTTTTTTGTTGTTTTTTTTTAATTTTTTTTTTTTAAAGTTTTATTTGTTTATTTATTTATACAAGCACTGGGTACAGTCAGAAGCGCGGGAGGGTGAGAGAATTCACCAGAGCCAGAGTGGGGAGCAGAGCAGGCAGAAGGACCAAAGTACACTGCTGAGGGGAGCAGCGGGTGGCAGGACAGGTCTTCGTGCCATGTGGGACCCTCCTCCAGGGGCCCGGGAGCAGCCGGGGATCAAACCGGCGCTGCAGAGGCTGCGGGCAGCTTCGCAACCCAGCGCTCAGCCGCTGCGCCACCAGGGAGGCCCAACAATAGGATGATTTTAAACGTCCTTGGTCAGAGGAGTGTTAACTAATTTAAAGAATCTATTGCTTAAGCTTTGGTAAAAATGAGAATTATTTTCCTAAAGTAATACATACATACTCCTTGTTTATCTGCATCATAAATAGGAACTTTCATATGGAATTTGTTGCAGATTCCTTCCGTTGGGGGGGGGTTAACAAATTTTATGAGCCTTTATCATTGATACTTTGATCTAAGTTGTATAGACTGTGTAAATGATTCAAGTAGAATTTTAAAAACATTAACTGCTTTTTCTCATATGTAAATGTGTTTTCTAAGATTAAATTCCAGATGTCTGTCATCATAAGTTGATTTTAAAATTATTTTTAAAATCTTTGTTAAAGTAATATGTCACATTGCAGTGTTCCTTTTATGAAAAGAATTTTTAAAGCTAATACTACAAAAGATGAATAAATAATGTTTAACATGTTGATTAAAAGAAAAATTGAGTGATAAATGGGCCACAGAGCTGAACAGACAATTCACCAAAGAGCATGTCCAGAAGGCCAGTAGGCACATGGAAAAGTGTTCCATCATTGCTTGTAATAAGGGAGACAGGGAGACGCAGGTCAAAACCACAGTGAGACACCCCCTCGCACCCAGGAGTCTGGCACATATCAAAAAGACCCCCAACAGCAAGTGCTGGAGAGGATGTGGCGAGAGAGGAATCCTATTAAACTTTTGGTGGGAATGTAAAGTGGTACAGCCATCTATGACCCAGCAGTCCTACTTTTGGCTTTCTTTACAAGGAAGTGAAACATCTACTCAAAAGAATTATGTGTGTTATATTGTTTATTGTGGCATTATTTTTCAATAGCTAGGACTTGGAAAATAAACTAAGGGCCTACTGATAGAGGAAGAATCAGTAAGATGTGGTTTGCCCACACAATGGACTATATTATTCAGCCATATGGAAAGACAAAGCATTGCCATTTACAGCAAAACAGAAGGAGTCTGAGGGAATTATGTACAGTTAAAGCAAATCAGAATGACAAAGACAAACACTGGACATTTGCACTGTAGATGATTCTTGTAAAAACTGGTGGATGTTGATAAAACCAAGTGAGGCTTCTGAAGAGGGAGGGGGAAAGGGTTATATATAATGGATGGTTGTTGGGGCAACAAAGAAAAGCTGACAATGTATGTATGTCACTCCTAAATTTCACACTTTGGAAAAATCTTTTAAAAATTGTTAAACTTGTGAAGTTAAAAGAGAGTTTTATTTTGAAATGTTCTTTGCAAGATCCTCATCTTTTCAATTTTTCAAATTAGGAAAACATACTTGAGAGGATTCATTTTCACATAGTGCCAAGCAGAGACGCCGACATGTGTACCTCTAAGTCTTGTATCACTCACCAGAAGTTTGCTATGACTCTGTATGAGCAGGTGAGAGGGCTTACCTATCCTCTTAGCAGTTCTGTTTATGTTTTATGACTGATGAGCTGAACATGTGTTTCTACCTGTAGCGTGTGTGTCGCAGCTGTGGCGCATCATCAGACCCTCTACCCTTTACTGAGTTCGTGCGGTACATTTCTACGACAGCCCTCTGGTAAGGCCCCACTAAAGTATAATTACCAAAGATACTAATAGCGCATTGGCCGTTTATTTTATCAACCATAACATACATGGATTTCTAATTTCTCTCTGAAACTATTAAATATACTACCATCAGAGATACTAAGTGATGTCTGTCTCAGTTGGGTGTTTGATTTAGCCAAATATCTACGCAGGCATACCCAGCTGTGCTTCACAGATCGTACATTCTTCACAAATCGGTGCTATTTTTCCAGTAGTATGTGTTCCCTTCCTGTCTCTGTGTCACATTTTGGTAATTCTTATAATATTTCGAATTATTATCTTATCTCTTGTGATTTGTGGTCAGTGGTCTTTGACGCTACTATTGTAATTGTTTTGGGGTGCCACTAACTACACCCACATAGGACAGTGAACTTAATAAATGTTGTGTGTGTTCTAAACTGCTTCCCTGACCAGCTGTTCCCCTATTTCTCTCCCTCTCACTATTCCCTGATACACAGCAGTTTTGAAATTAGACCAATTAATAACCACATAGTTTGCTCTAAGCATTCAAGCGATGGACAGAGTTGGGTTTCACTCATTTGAAGTCAGAAGTTAGAAATGATTAGACTTAATGAGGGAGGCATCTTGAACACCAAGACAGGCCAAGAGCTAGTCATTTTGTACCAGATAATTTAACCAAGTTGTGAATGCAAAGGAAAAGTTATTAAAGGAAATTGAACGTATTTAATTTAGTGAACACATGAATTAATGAACACATGAATTTAGTGAACACAGGAATCAGAAAGTGAAACTGCCTTATTATTGATATGGAGCAAGTATATTTGTGGTCTGGATAGAAGAACAGATGAGTCACAATATTCCTTTCAGTTGACACCTATACACAGCGAGACCCTAACTCAATTTTGTGGTGGTTGAGAGGGCTAAGGGAGCTAAAGAAAAGTATGAAGCTAGCAGAGGTTGGTTCATGAGACTTAAGGAAAGAAGCCATCTACATAACATCATAATGCAAGGTCAAAATGCAAGGTGAAGCAGCAAGTGCTGCTGTGCAAGTTGTAGGAAGTTATCCAGAAGATGTACCTATGGTCATTGATGGAGATGGCTGCACAAATCAACAGATGTTCAGTGTGGATGAAGCAGCCTTTATATTAGAAGAAGACGCCATCTGGGACTTTCATAGAGAGAAGTCAGTGACTCACTTCAAAACTTAAAAGGATGCACCGACTCTGTTGATGGGGGTGAATGAAGCTGGTGGCTTTAATTTGAAGCCAATGCTCATTTATCATTCCAAAAAATCCCTAGGGTCCTTGAGAATGATGATAAATTTACTCTGCTTCTGCTCCATAAATGGAACAGCAAAGCCTGAGTAATGGCACCTCTGGTTACAATGTGGTTTACTGTTTGAAGCCCACTGTTGAGACCTGTTGCTTAGACAAAAAGATTACTTTGAAAATGTCATTGACTGTCTACTCAGTCACCCAAAAGTTCTGATGGAGATGTACTAAGAGTTGAGAGTTGATTGTTGGTTTTCATGCCTGTTAACACAGCATCCATTTTGCAGCCAGATCAAGGAACAGTTTTGATTTTTGAGTCTTACTATTTAAGAAATAAGTTTTGTATGGCTTAAGCTGCCATAGATAGCGATTGCTCTGATGGATTTGGGCAAAGTCAGTCCTTCTGGAAAGGATTCTGGACCTTCTGGAAAGAATTTCCCTTTTGACCTCTCCCTATAAATCATTAGGAACATTTGTGATTTATGGGAGGAGGCCAAAATATCAACATTAGCGGTAGTTTGGAAGAAATTGATTCTGACCATCATGGGTCACTTTGAGGGGTTCAAGAATTCACTGGAAAAAGCGACTACAAATGTGGTGAATATAACAAGAAAACTAGGATTGCAAGTAGAGCCTGAAGATGTGATTGAGTTGCTACAATCTCATGATAACACTTAAACAGACGAGCTGCTTCATGTGGAGGAGCAAAAAGTGGTTTCTCGAGACTGCAGTCTATTCCGTCTATGTATGGAGGTGAAGATGCTGTGAACACTACTGAAATGACTGCACAGGATTTAGAGTGTTACATACGTTTAGTTAATAAAGCAGTGACATGGTTTGAGAGGATAGACTCCCAGTTTCAAAAGAAGTTCTTTGGGTAAAATGTTATCAAATAGCATCAAATGCTACAGATATATCTTTTGTGAACAGACCAGTCAATCCATCATTGCTGTCTTGCTTTAAAAAACTGCTGCAGCCAGCTGACCTTCAGTTACCCTTATCAGTTAGCAACCATCAGCATCAAGACAAGACCCTCTACCAGCAAAGAGATTGACCTACTGAAGGCTGAGATGATGGCTTGCATTTTTTTGCAGTAAACAATTTTTATCTAAGTGTGTACACTGTTTTTTTTTTAGGCATAGTACTGTACACTAAATTAGCTATGTTTAAATTATAGTTTAAACTTTTATAGGCACTAGGGAAGCAAGAAATTCATGTGACTTCCTTTATTGTGACATTCACTTATTTGTGAACGGAACCGACATATCTCTGACTTCTTCCTGTACCGCATAGTGAACCTTAATCCAAATTTGATCTATTTATATTTACAGCAAGTTTCTGCTGAAGAGAGCCTGAAAGCTGAGCTCAGTAGTATGGGAGACTGTATGTGGTTTCTTCCTTTTTGCTAAGGAGTCTCCTGTTACCACCACCATGTTCTTTCGTGGTGATGGAAGGTAGGGTGAGCAGAAAAGAAAGAAATAGGTGAAAATAATCTTTTGTTAGGTTTATTGCATTTAAGGTCTCAACCTGAAGTATACCTGTTCATCTGAAATACAGGTTGGCTGCACTTTCTTGTTCCCTCCCTCCATTCCTGTCTCTGCCAGTTTAGATTCCAGGACTTTACATAAGAATTGTTGAAACACTAACAGACATTAGAAGGTAGAATTATTCGAGAAAAAAATGTTGAAAAGATCAGAAATATTTGCTGATATTTTTGTGCAAAAAATGAAACTTTTTTTTTCATTTTAAAACGTAATACATTTCAGAATGTATTAGTGCAACAGATAGTTGATAAACACTGCTAATATTTTTAGCATTGTGCAAAGTGAATTCCAAAAGTTCACTAATTTCACTGTATGAGTAAACTTCCATTCTTTTTTCTCTTATTTAAAAATTTCTAATATTTAAAATATTAACTAAAGAACTATCTGTTCCTTAAATATTCCTAGGAATTACCCATAAAAATCATCAAAATCGGATGCTTTCTGAGTGAAGTAACTCTTCAACAGTTTTTACAATTCCTTGTCTGATCTCTGGTGTATCCAGATATTTTTAAATTAATTTTAGAAACTTGATTCTTCTGTCCTGGGAAAATCATGTATTTGTGATTTTTGCATCGGTTAGCTTAAAGATGAGTATCATGTTCACTTGTAATGTCTTATGTCTCTCTTATGTGAGTATTCATCCCCAGGTCCAGGACTGCTCTGCTGGTTGTACATCATTTTTTTTTATTTTATTTATTTGTTTGTTTGTTTATACATGCACTGGGTACAGTCAGAAGCGCGGGAGGGTGAGAGAATTCAACAGAGCCAGAGCGGGGAGCAGAGCAGGCAGAAGGACCGAAGCACACTGCTGAGGGGAGCAGCGGGCGGCAGGAGAGGTCTGCGCGCCATGTGGGACCCTCCTCCGGTGGCCGGGGAGCAGCCGGGGATGGAACCGGCACCGCAGAGGCTGCGGGCAGCTTCGCAACCCAGCGCTCAACCGCTGCACCACCGGGGAGGCCCTGTACATCATTTTTTAAAGACTGTTCAGTAGCAGTTTTTTGTATCTGTTTAGTATTTTTCTTATTTTTACAGACTTTGGAAACATTGGCTTCGTGAAGTATTCCCTAAACTTGAGTTAATTATAGATGTGTTCTTTTCACATTGTATGGGAAGTAGGATGGTGTTTGAACCCAGGATAAGACCACAAATTAAAAACAGTAGAAATTTAAGTTTACTTTGAAACTTTTGTATGAAATGATAGTGCTCTGAGGCAGTGTCCTAGTTAATGAAAATTCAATCCTTGTTAATGTCTCCCTGGCTCATACCAATATTGCAAGACCCCAGATTGTGAGTTCTAATGTTAATCTCTTTTTATAAGTAATAAGGCCTGAATAGCAATTGTTGATATTTAATGTGTTCTAGGCGTCACTTTTGTTTTTTATTTTATTTTTTTTTTCCATTTTAAAAGGACAGGCTTATTAGGAAAAGGAGAATAAGAGAGGCACCTGCATAGTCACAGGTGGGCAGGAGAGCTGCCAGATTATCACTTTTAATCTGAAGAAAAATATTCTTGTCAATGAAGAACTAAAATTTAATGAGGTTAATGTGGTAAATAGGTGAATGGCTTCGTTTCAAATTTCGAATTTGTCTGGTTAACCACTACTCCGATGCTGTCCATTTTGTAAAACCATTCTGTGCGATTTGCATGAGTCTCTCAGATTATTGTCTTCTGTATACTTGTAAAATGCTTTAGAAGAATGGGTACCTTTGTTGTTATTGAATATTATATGTTTAGTGAACCCCTGAACTGTAGAGTGCATTCTGCTCTAGGAAAGTTATATTACTATTAAGTAGAACCATTGCATCTAGAATCAGGTAATTGAACTTATATATTACGTTTCTCTTTGGGTAGTGTTTAAATAGTTGTTTAAAGGCATTTAAATACCATTATATGTAATATGTGACTCTTGGAGGTGGTTGAGTGAAAACTGATACCAATACCTTACCAGAGCTGTATGAGTGACGATCATAATAGAAACAAAAGCGTAAAGCTTTGTTTGAGATTTTTGCATTGATTAGCAAGGGACCCCTTGCTCTTAGCCAAAAATGATAATTCAGTTTCTGGGAACTTTAGGCAGTGAGAGAGCCATTCCTTCAATTTTTTGTTTGTATTTGTCCAAAGTTTAAACTCCTTTGTCAAGTCATAATGTAAAAGAAACAGTTGCCTTAGGACTATTTTCAGATGGTGCACTGTATGTGGTCTGTGTAGTTCTAAGAAAGAACAGTGGTGTTATTTCATGTTATTTTACTGTTTTTGATTTAATTTTTTTCATTATACACATGCCATGTTTTATAATTTGTCACTTGGCGCAAGTTTCCTTTGTGGTTAATTTTTCAGATAAAACCATGTTTTAAGACAAAAAAATGATCACCCCTATATGACAATCTAGTATTTTCACGCTTAAGGCATTAGGTCCTTTATAGGCTCATATTACAGATTTGGGACTGCTTGCTTTTTCTTTTACAGCAATGAAATTGAAAGAATGGTGGAAAGGCATGAACGTTTTAAGCCTGAAATGTTTGCAGAATTGCTGCAAGCAGCAAATACAGCTGATGATTATAGGAAATGTCCTGTAAGTATAATTTGGAGAAATATTCTCCAAATGCTTCTATGTTTGTAAATTTGAAAATAGACATTCAGAAAATATCATGTAAATATTAATTATATGTGCAATTAATTTTACAAATTTTTTTCAATGTTATTTTACGTAACGATTTGTAGGTTACTATTTAGGTACAAAATTCACTTTGTGAGCTATTTAGCTCAACATGTCTTTGAGTTATTAACTTTGTGAAGGATTTAAGGTAGCATATGGTGATAATTTTTTTTTAAGTTGTAAAAATAAGATTTGACTAATGGGAAGATTTTTTTAAATAAGCAAGACATGTGGTATCATTCTTTTCTCATGTATGTTAATGACTTTAAGGGTTTTTTTAGGTTGACTTTTTATCTTAACAAATGTACCAAAATGCTAAAGAAAAGTACTTTGTTTAAAAATAAATATCCTTTTAAATCACTAATTAAGACCGTTTGTAACAAGTCTATGTTAGTATACTGAAGAAATAAAGTTCTGGTACATGTTAAGCCTATCATTGCATAATATGAATTGCCTAAGGAACATTATTAGTGGTTTATCTGTTTTGATAATTTCAAAACTTGCTTTCTGTGTTTTTCTTTAGAGTAACTGTGGCCAGTTTATAAAAATCCGCCGTGTTTTAATGAATTGCCCAGAGATTGTTACAATTGGTTTAGTCTGGGATTCTGAACAATCTGACTTGACCGAAGATGTTGTTCGGAATCTAGCAACACATCTTTACCTTCCTGGGGTATCTGTACTGTTTGCATTCTCTTCCCTTTTATTTTTAAATTCCTCCGAAACATGTTTGTGTATTATTATGTTTTTCAAAATTAAATTTTCTTTCTAAATAATATTTATATGAAACTTTGATAAACTTAATCAAGTCAGGCTACTGCATGTCTTTCTTGCATAGACTTTGAGTGACTTCTGTTGAAAGTTACAAATTATACTCTCTCATGTTTCTTCAATGTTCTACTCTGGAGATGTGACAATATGATGGTGATAACACTAATCTCTTAAAGTGCTTATTACCGTCTTAATATAGTTAGAACTGGTTTTTGTTACAATTAAACTTTTTAAAATATATTTTTAATAATACATATAATGCATGTGCAAATATGTGATTCAATTAAGAATTACCAGGAAATGTGTGATTTAGCTCTCATTTTGAGTTCATGTATATGAATTATCAATTCTGTATAATTGGAAATAATGTGTCCTGAGTTAAATTATAAGAACTTATTTAATTGAACTTAATATTTCTTATGTACTAATTAAAAGTAATAATTGTGTGCAATGTTAGTGGTGCCTTTGGTACAAATATATTGGATTAGATTATAGAATGCATAAGAAATATTTTTCAGAGTGAAAAATTATTCCTCGTTTTTTTTGAAGTATGGTATTTAATGTATGTTCTTTTTTTAAAACAGCTTTTTTATAGGGTTACAGATGAAAATGCCAAAAATAGTGAACTTCACCTTGTTGGTATAATCTGTTATGCCAGTCGACATTATTGTGCCTTTGCTTTTCATACTAAGAGTTCCAAATGGGTATTTTTTGATGATGCAAATGTAAAAGAAGTAAGTAACATTTTTACTGAGTAATATAACCATTAAAATTTTTACTTTTTAGGAATAAATGATATAATATATACATAACAATGTAATGATAGAATGATGTAATTATATAAAATAATATATAATTATTGTGAAGCAATGATAAATGGGCTTAATAATTTTAGGTTCATTTATAAATAATATATTGAATATTTAATAATCATTAAGTTTGTGCTTTTATTATTGAAATCTGGTTTATTTTGAAGCCAGCTTTTAACTAGTCATTTCCAGAATAATAGAAAAGTGATTAACAAACATTAGTATAAAATATGCAGTTGTCATTGATCCATAGGTTTGCCCTTTGTCTGATATACAGTTGCTACATGTATTTCTTTGTGGAGAAAAAAACTTTTTATTTATTTATTTTTAACAGTGACTTTCCAAATTTCCTGTTTGGCATTCAAAATTAAGTATCTATTTTATATTTGGGTAAATAAAAATAAAATGGGTTAGTTATAGTACTCAATAAGGAATATCTATCAGAATCACATTTGAGTCTTTTTAGAGAACATATATGCCTAAATTCTTGACTTCTTTATTCAGTGGTATAGGAGCCAATGCCTGAATTTTTAAAAAATTCTGGAGGAGATTGAGACTTTACCACAGTTGAAAGCTGTTGGTATACTCTAGTTTTTGCATGATTCATTCTAATTTTTGTGCCTTATGTGTAATGGGGTCTGAGTTCATTTTTCATATGACTGTCCTGTTGTTCCAGTACCATTTGTTATTTTTCTGTTTTATATGGACTTTTATATTTTTACATCCCCATTAAATTGCCTTAAAATCTTTGTCAAGTCAATTAACCACATATGTGAAAAGTTTTTTAAAATTTCATAACCTAAATCTTGGTATAGAGAGTGTGTAATTTTGTCCGTCAGTATTTTAAATGATAATATTGAAAATGATTTTTGTTTAATTTGACTAGTTACAAAATAAATCAAAAGAACTGTTGAACTGCTAGCATCTGAGTGACTTTAAAATGTTTTAATACCAAATTCCTTCAATCTCTGCCTTTTCGTGTAACATACTGATTATAAGGCTTTGCTTTGTGTTCATTGTGGATTTTTTAAAGGTTGGAACTAAATGGAAAGACGTGGTCTCCAAATGCATCCGATGCCACTTCCAGCCACTGCTGCTGTTCTACGCGAACCCAGATGGCTCCGCAGTCTCTACTGAGGACGCACTCAGTCAGGTCATGCCCTGGGCCCATTATAAATCTGCTGCAGAAAATACAGGTAATTTCTTTCTTAGGTTGTTTTCAGTGTTTTTCTATTATAATAGTCACACTTGGAACACTTATATACTTAGTATAAAATGAATGTTGAAGTCATTTTCAAAATTGAATTTCAGCAAAGTGGGTTTAGGAAAATTCTTCCTGTTTGACTTAATCTTTAGAAAGAAACCTTTCCTCACCAGTGGCCTCAGGAGCACCTGCAGGAGCCACCCACACAAGCACAGGAAGGGTTATTTGGCTGCTAGCTCTGCCTGGCAGTAAAATATCAAGATTTAAGTGAGTTGATTCCCTGGAAAAGGCCAACAGAGCCAGGCCATTTTACCATGCATGTAGAAACCCTGAAAAGATGTAAGTCCACTATGTTTTTAAGTAATTTTATTTACAGTAATAAAAATGCTTGGGCAGATAATTCAGACATCTCTTCTAGTAGGAAGGTGGAAGGGGATGAAACATTTTTGTTTGTCTTTTTAAGGATGTGAAAAACCCTCAATTTGTAAATCAGATAATCCAAAAGAAAATGGAGTTGGTGATCAGGCAAAACAGAAAGAAAATCAGAAATTTCAAGCAGATAATAATTCATCATTTAATCAGAGCCACATTCAGTCAAATGGTAATAGGGGACCAGGTATGTGTTTAAATTGTCATTTTTATGTTGTCCCTGATTAGTAAGAATTCTCCTTTTCTTCTCTTACTGTCGTTCCTCATAAGGGCTGTACTCCAGGAGGGTACAAAACTCATATGCGCTGTACTCCAGGAGGGTACAAAACTCCATTTCCTTGGCAATGGAGATAAAATAACAAGTAAATAACAGAATTTTGTCTTCATGACTTATGCTTTTCTGTGAGATGGGTGGGGTTATCTGAACAATCTCACTGCAGCAGTATTTGAGATTCTCCACCCTCTCAGCTGTGGTAATAAGGCCTGAGGCGATCTGGATGGTTCCCAAAGGTGATAATGGGCCTGCCTTTCAAGGAGTTAATGATTAAATCGGAGAGAAAAAAACCTGAATTAATAATTTGGATCACATCCCAAAATGAAATTTAACATTAGTGAATGCAACAGAAGTTCAAAGTTACTAGAGCTATAGTTTATTCTTAACCTATTTTCACCCAACTGTCTTACTACTGTCACCTTGTGATTTTAATTTTCACAAACTAGGGTACTATGATTTGGGTCCAAATCCAGGCATCACAGTAGGATGTTTGTTTATGGTTTAGAAATAGATGAAACTAATTTTGTGGATGCTCAGGTTGGTTTTTCAAATACCCTTTAAATATATTAATGAAATAATGTATGATCAGAAGAGTAACACATTCAATGAAAGTGGTAAGATTCAGAATTCACACCTCACCAACAAAGAACTACAATAAAAGCTTTTAAAAATTCATAACAAAGCTGTACCTGTTGTCTGATCAATTGTTGATACTCTTAGATTAAAGCTGTTTTCTGTTTTTCAAAAGCTCTCTACTTTTAAGGCCAGAAACTGTATGTTAAGAACGTAATCACTGGTTGGGGTTAAGTCTCAGCGCTATCAAGCTATTGTCAGCCACTGCAGCCTGAGTTCCATCCCTGGCCAGGGAGCTGACCCACATGGCTCAGCAGACCTCTCCTGTCTCACCCTCTACTCCCCTCAGCAGTGTATTTCAAGTCAATCTGCCTGTTCTGCTCCCTACTCTGTCTCTGGTGAATCCTCTTACCCCCGCACCTCTGGCCTACACCCCAGTTCTTGTGTGCATAAATAAATAATTTTTTTTTTTTAAAAAAAGGAGCATAAACACTGGAGCCAGACAGCTTTAAGTCCTTAATTCTGGTCTTCCATTTACAAGCTGTGTGAACTGGGGCACACTTTAAACTACTCTATGTCTTAGTTTTCTGGTCTGAGATGATAGTAATTGTAGCCACCTTGGAGTATTAAATGAGCTAAGACTCTTAAACTAGTGCCTGTCTTAAACTAGTGCCTTTACCTCTTGCTGTTTTCATATCTTTTTCCTCCTTTACACTTGCTTTTGGTGCTAGCCAAGCAGTATTAAAAGATAACATGCCTCTGCAGTGTCAGAATAAATAACAAAGAGTTAAGCATACAAATGGGTTCATTTTGTACTTTCATCTTTATTTTGTTTTTAATACATAACATTTTAAACAACTCTTACATAAATTCAGTTTGTAATTTTAATGAGCAGTTTGAAAAATGATTAGTATTATTATAAAACTGGCTTCTTTTATAGTTAAATTACGTCACAGTGATCAAAGGGAAAAAATGAAAGACATTTCCAGAGAATGTGCTCTAAAAGCCATTGAACAGAAAAACGTACTTTCTTCACAAAGGAAAGACCTGGAGAAGGGACAGAGAAAGGATTTGGGCCGACATAGAGGTAAGCTACGAGTTGATAGCGATAGCGTTCATTTGAAAGAAGCTTAAAATAAATTTCATGATTGTAATATAATTAGATTTTATATGTTTACAAATTGTGTTATCTATATTGACCTTTGTTTTAATATAATTTCTCTAATATACCTACACTAAATCTATGTATGTAAAAATTTCCCAGTTGCTCTTGAAAGACTGGACCAGCTTGTACTCCCACCAATAGGAATTGGGTGTCTGTTTCTTCAGACAACCAATTTAGCTGAGATTATTTAAAAAACTTTTGAATTTTACCAATATAAGAGGTGGAAAATATTTTTATGATTTTCATTAATTGTGAGTGACATAGAATGATTTAAAGAACTGTTTTAAGATCTACTTTAGAGATAATTTTTAAAGTCAACATAGAAAGCACTTTTGGTCTCAAAAATGAGATAGAATTTAAATACTCACAGTTACTATTTATTTATCTATTACTATTTATTTAACTTGTGACTAAAAGGTAACTTTGAAGAGTACTTCATTTGTATCTTTATCTCTTTTTTAAAGATTTAGTTGATGAAGATCTTTCACATTTCAAGTCTGGATCACCCCCTGTACCAAATGGCTTTAGACACTATGGAAATACACAGCTGTATCACAGTCAAGGAAGAGGACCATATAAACATGACCGAGTTGCCCAGCAGAATCTAGCTTCTACCCAAATATTAAGTTCAAGTAAATCCCAGTGTCTTGCTCCAGGAGAGAAAACAACTAGCAAAATGAAAAGCGACAGTGGCACTGGCTACGACACAGACAGCAGCCAGGATTCTAGAGACAAAGGAAGCAGCTCTACCGGCGGCAATAAAAGCCGGAATCGCAGTTGGAAACCCATGAGAGAAACATTAAATGTTGACAGTATTTTTAATGAAAGTGATAAAAAGCAGCAGAGCCCAAGACATAAATCAACCACTGGTAACAAATCTAAATGTAGTAAAGATCAGAATTTTAACAATTGGCCAAAAGAAAATCCAAAGCAAAAGAGTTTAATGACCATCTATGAAGATGAAATGAAGCAGGAGATAGGGAGCAGGAATTCTCTTGAATCTAGTGGAAAAGGAGAGGAGAAAAATAAAAGCCTCAAAGAAACTAAAGTTCATGGTGATAACTGGCAGCTGCAAAGGGCTGAGTCCGGCTATGAAAGCAGTGATCATATCAGTAATGGGTCTGCTAATTTGGACTCGCCTGTTATTGACGGGAACGGCGCGGTAATGGATGTCAGTGGCGTTAAAGAAGCAGTGCCCTTCAGGTAACACCAAATTACATGAATTATTTCCCCCCATTGTCCTCTTCTTTAATTAATTGAAGTAATTTTGAATTTGGAGTCAATTAAATATAATGGAAATAGCATAAGCTCCGACTCAAGCTACCTGAGTCCTATAGGTGATTTGATAATTCAGGTTTCTGTTTTTTAATAATAATGTTAAAAATAGCAATTACTATTCTTAGGAAATTAAGAAATACAGAAATAGATCATAATTGGTGCCACTGAAAACCATGAATATATATGCAACAGGTTTTTTTTTTTTTTTTAAAGCTTTATTTATTTATTTGTACAAGCACTGGGTATAGTCAGAAGCGTGGGAGGGTGAGAGAATTCACCAGAGCCAGAGCAGGGAGCAGAGCAGGCAGAAGGACCAAAGTACACTGCTGAGGGGAGCAGCGGGCGGCAGGAGAGGTCTGCGCGCCATGTAGGACCCTCCTCCGGTGGCCGTGGAGCAGCCGGGGATCGAACCAGCGCTGCAGAGGCTGTGGGCAGCTTTGCAACCCAGAGCTCAACTGCTGTGCCACTGGGGAGGCCCTATGCAACAGGTTTTAAAGCACATATTTAAATTGATTTCCTCTTAGTCATTAAGTTAATGTAATTCTGTAATTCTTCAATTTATTTGATGTTAATTTTCCCACCTCTAACATCTGTAACTCAGAACTGGGTTTCTTATCTGGTATCACAACCCAGTTGCATGGAAGAGATATTTTTCCCTTTAGTGAATATAAAACAATATAACAAGTAAATTTTTCGTCTTTTGATTCTTAATTAGCTCATTCTGAGTACATTTATAATTTTACTTAGGCCAGTGTAGCCACTATTTCTGACTAATATTTCAGTCCATCTAAAACATTTTAATTTTGTATTAGCTGGTTTTTTACCACATTTGCTATTAAAAAGCTATATTTGTAAAAGGTACTTTTTATTTTTTTATTGAAATAATCATTGTAATAAGGACTTAGGGAAACTTTTTATTTGGCAGGTGATTTTGTAACTTTTTGGAAAGGGGCAGACTAGGGTAGTAGAAAGATCAGGATTTTGTAACCAGATAGACTTGGATTTTAATTCTTAGACAAATTAAATTACCTTTCTTAGCTTTAATCTCCTATTGTAAAATGAGGATAAAACCTACTCTAAGTGTCATGTAAGATGAAAATTGAATAATATAAATTTATACTGTAGAATAGCACATGGGAAATAATACTTGTTTAACAAATATTCCTTTCTTTTTCTTAGACTGAATTACAGTTGTCATCCATGATAGCTGATGTGTTTGTGTGCATTTTATTCTATTTTCTAGTGACCAGGTTAATACAAACAATCTAAATGTAGAACATGGAAACTGTACCTCCCACCAGAGCAAAAACCACTTGGAAGGTAAAGATTTAAATATATTGTAATGGTAGCAGTAAAGATTAAGTTGTGGTAATATGAATAAGATGCTAAGAATTGATAATTGTATGAGCAATGAGGCTAGAAGTTGGGAGATGCCATGCTTGGGGGTTTTGTAAAGGAATTGATACTTCAAGGAATGTGAAAGCAGACAGTATATCAGTCAGGATAGGCTGGGTTCTAGGCCTTGTATTGATTGATACCACTTCAAACAGTGGACGTTAGCATGGAGTCTCTTTCTAGTAATCACTCAGTGCCCTGGGCTACTGAGGCTCCAGCTCCATAAAACCTTCTCTGATTGTTGCAGTGTTGGGGAGTTAGGAGACTGAAGGAGAAAAATGTGCAGTCACATGTTAGCTCTTAACACTCGAACCCAGAAGTGATAATGCACTTCCATTCACATAGGTGTAAAAAGTCCTAATGTCTACCACAGGCATGAAGGACAAATAGAAAAACTGATGAACAATTGGAAAAGTTCAGTTTGGAAACAATAAATATGTACTATTATTATAGGTGATTTCTTGGCAACACCTGACAGCAGCAGAACTAAAGAAATTTAGATGTTTGAATTATATAGACGTCAGGGTTGCTATTGGTAGAATATAACTGGAGGCTTTAGGAGAGAGGAATCAAGGAAAATTATGAGCAAGGAGATTATTGAAGTTACAATCAAAGACAGTGCTTTCAAATCTTAGAATTCAGAGGATTAAAAAGGATATGATTTTTCATAATACATATTAATATCAAAAATATCATTATGCATATCAAAAATTTAAAGTTTCTTTTTAGCCTTTATTCTTAAGGCATTGGTGCAGTTTTTTTTTTTCAGGTTGCAGACCCTGAAAATGATTAAATGTTAAATGATTTTGTTTTCATCAAATACTACAATATCAGAAGGAAACACTTATATTAAGGAAATAACTTTCCTTTCTCATATGAATGTCTCGCTAGTTTAAAAATCTGATAAAAGTCTGGTAACCAAGTATTACAGGAAACTGTAAAGGGCTGGCCAGAAATCAACAGCAGGAGTTGGTGAAATTGAACAATAACCTTAAATTCAATCCGCCTTACAAAATGATACTTACTTCCTGGTAGTAAGAAAAACACAAGGTCATAGAGATTTTGATGGTTAAGAGTACACTGCGATAGAGAACTTTGTAAAGCATTTCCTCATTTAATCAGAAATAGTATGTATGGAGGCCCTGACATTTTTTTTATTGTGGTGAAAGACACATAACCAAATGTGCCTTTCTAGACATTTTTAAGTGAATACTCAGTGACACTAAGTGCATTCACACTGTTGTCCAACCACCACCACCACCATCCGTCTCCAGCACTCTGTCATCTCCCTCAACTTGCATTTTTAATTCAGTGTCACTAGACATGTCCCCCACCCCTCAGCCCCTGGGATCCTCCTGTCCACTTTCTGTTTACATGAATTTGGCGAGGTATCAATATCTGTCTTTTTTTGTGACTCTTCTTTCACTTAGCATAGTGTTTCCAGAGTTCATGCATGTTGCAGCAGGACTCATACATTCATTCCCTTTTAAGGTTGAACAACATTATACTTGTCATATATCACGTCTTGATCATCCATTTGTCTCTTGATAGACATCAAGGAACCACCATATTGTTTTTCACAGCAGCTGTGTTATTTATTTGCATTCCCACCAGCAGCCTTCAAGGGTTCCAACTTACCCATAGCCTAACAATACTAACACTTGCTGTTTACTTTTATGGTCATTGCCATCCTAATGGGTATGAAGTGTGGTGTTGTGTTGTGGGTTTGTGTAACCCACTTTTATCTAACAACACAGATGGTGTTATATTAAAATTATTTCATATTTAATAAACCTCAAAACTTACCATCGTTCTTTAAGCCAGTCTTTGCCTGGAGAACCTTTGTTCATATTCTTGCTGTATGGTTCCTGTGTAAGTAGCCCCTCCCTTAGTCTGCGACTGAGCATGTGGGTAGGCCTTGTATCCTGAAGCTAAAAACTTGCCCTGCATGGTAGAATTTAATTCTTTGTGACTGGGTATGATTTTCTTGTTTTCTTTTTTCCTGCTTATAAAATGGGGTTACACTTAGATTATTGACAGAAAAATCACTTTCTATTAGGCTAAAAAACTTTAGAAAGTTAAGGAGCCTTCACATTCTTTTTTAAGTCAACTTAATTCAGTCAATTTAATTTAAGTCACACAAAATGTATTAATGTATTCTGTAAGTTTATTTGATGATAGAGAACTTAAATGCTATTGTAATTATTTCACTGATTTTTTTCTTCATTGCTAGAAATAATTATATAGACTGACTGACTTCTATGTCGTATTGGGTTCTGCTGCAAAAATCCTTACCTATACTGCCTAAAGCTGTTTGGTTACTTTGTGGAAATTCTGCATTTCCATTTGGATTGTTTTGGCCATTGTTTTAAAGTGGATCACTAATGAGGAGGCATTCAGATGCCTTAAATTACATTTAAGACAGAAGAACTGAAATGTTCAAAAGCATATGGTCAAGAGAAAGTATCACATATTTAAAGAACTGGTATAAGCAGGCCTGGAATACATTGTGGACATTGTGAGATGATGGATAGCGGGATAGGTAGAAGCCAAGTCATGATGAAACTTTCATGTTATATTTAGATCTGACAGTAAATGGAAATGCACCAAAGGAGAAGGAGAGTAGCACATTCCAGTTTGCATTTTAGAGAAGATTCTTTGGTCACAATGTAGAGTGTGAGTATATAACAGTGGGAGAAAAATTAGTTAAATGACTAATAGTGTAAGAGAAAAAAGATAAGGGCATAAACCAAGGTAGTACCAATGTCAGGAAAGAAGATGTAAGAGATTTTAAGACTCTGTGGATAGTAAAGGTAATTTTTTGTGAAAGCTGTACAGAATGGGGCATAGGGAAGAAACTGTGTATGACTCTATTTGGGACATAATATAAGTAGATACACCATTTACCAAGTCAAGGAATACAGAAGCAACAAGTTTGGGGTGGATCAGAGAGGATTCCAAATGAATGATTGGATTTGTTTATCATCTAAGTAAATAGGTTTATGAGATTATTAGTGATGTAAGTCTAGAACTTAGGAAAGAGTCTGTAATGGGTAATCATCAGTATATATGGGAATTGAATGCCATAGACATAAGTTTCACTTGGGATAAATAGACATTTCAGGGCAAAAATAGACAAAGCAAGGAACATGGGACTCACTGTATAAGATGAGAGCTGAGGATAATGTCAAGTAGCAATATCATAAAGGAATGAGGAATAGACTGAAAGGTATGAGAAAATACTGAAGAAGGGTTTATCACAGGAAGCTCAGAAAATGAGGGACTTCAAGAAGAAAATTACACAGTTTAGACCAGCAGTTTTTATTGCTTTATTGTTATGTAAGTTTGTTTTAAACCTGAGTCATCTTTTCAGATGAACTATATATTTTGATTTCTTGGATATTGGATCTTGGATTTTCTTAGATACATACAGTATCAAAATGAGCATTATTAGTTAAAGCTTCTTGCCCTGACTTTGAGGTATTTTAGGTGCCAAGTGTTAAAGCAGACTCTTTTAGATTTGCAAAGAATCTGGAACCAAAATTCCCAGTAAAGACACATGGATGTCTATGTCAGCAGAAGAGAAAAATAACACATCTATTTTTAAACTAGTTGGAATTCTGAAGTCAGACCACTTGGTTGATTGCCTGCCATCGTGATCTTCAAGTTTCCTTCCTTACTTAAAAGCCTCTGCTGCCTCCTGCTGCCCATTGTGTGGATGCTTTAATGAAAACAGAAATTCTTTAGAATTGTTTGTTTTCCTTGTGTTTGTGAATATTTAACTTGAAATTATGGTTAAGTAAAATAAACATTTTGAATATAACAATGATGGAAAATTATAATGTAACTTCAACATACACATTTTTCAGGATTTAAAGATGGAAAAACTATCAAGTATTTTTGAACTTTTTTTGTTTTTAATCATAAAGTAGCTGTTGAAGGGAGGCTGAGTTTTTTGAGCCTCAGGCAACGAGGTTTTTTTTTTTTTGTTTTTAAAGATGTATTTATTTATTTATACAAGCACTGGGTACAGTCAGAAGCGCGGGAGGGTGAGAGAATTCACCAGAGCCAGAGTAGGGAGCAGAACAGGTAGAAGGACTGAAGTACGCTGCTGAGGGGAGCAGCGGGCAGCAGAGAGGTCTGCACGCCATGTGGGACCCTCGCCCAGCGGCCGGGGACCAAACTGGCGCTGCAGAGGCTGCGGCAGCTTCGCAGCCCAGCGCTCAACCGCTGCGCCACCAGGGGAGGTCCAGGCAATGAGTTTTGAGTCTCAAGTTTACAAGGATCTAAGACTTTTTGGAATCAATTATACTACCTTTTGTTTTTAAAATTTCATTAACTTGATAAATTTGAAGTAGGTTGAGGGTGGGATAAGAATTTGTTTCAGTTTATATTTATCTAGTCCTGGATCAGTGAGTTGGGAACATGGTAGACAGGATTTAAAAGAAGATAAGCAGTATATTTTTAGGCAATTGTTTAATCATTCTTCAGACTTTTCACTGAATGTCTTTTATGTATTAGCCACTAGGGATGTGCTAACAAAAATGAAGCATAACCTATAATAGGGACATATTTCATTGTTAAGCCGATGAATGCCAGACCTGGAGTTTTCTAAATTCTATCATGTTAAGTTTTTATTGGGAGATTTCATTTACTACATGGCATAGAGGATATTGAATTGTTGAGTGTGTCATACAACTGTTTTCTTGGAAATTACTTTTGCTATTTCACCCAAAGACCATAGTTGTAATCAAATATGTATTGTTTCCCATGGGATAATATTTAATCTTGATCTATTATAGATGACATTTGAATTTGAGTGACAGAGAGCAACAGATATGAACAGAAAGTCTTTATTTTTATTGGGATGTGGCAAAACTGATGGTAATGAGAACATGTTTTCGAAAATTCTTACCTTCATGTAAAAGCTTCAATTTATAAATCCTGCCAGTTGTTTTCCTTAAGGAAGACACAGGTTCACTTCTTTCATTTTTAGAAAAATTTCTGCCAGATAACTAAGTCTGAATGCACAGAGTTTGTCATCTTTTCAAGTAAAAATGGTATTCAGTCATAAAGGTTAAGTTAAAAATAATTACTGTTTACCTTTTACAGCTTGAGTAAGTAGTCAATAAATGATAGATACTTAGTGGTGGTAAAACATTTCATATATATCATCATAATACCCTCCTGCCCATTTAATTTCATCTGATATCCTTAATATTCCTGTGAGGTGGGGAGAATAGATACCATTATCTCATTGCATAAATGAGGAAACTGATTTGTAAAGGGTAAAGAGGCTCAGGAAGCTCACTTCATAATAAATAGTTCATCTAAACTTCTACCTAAACCTCTCTCTTCAAAGGCAGCATTTTCCCATCACTTTCCCAGTAAGAAGTTTGTCTTATATGCCAGGGGAAACATGTAGGCTGTCACAACCCCATGAGAATAGCTCTATTCTGGCCTTGCTGACATTGTCAGGTTTTAGTAAATTGAGGAATCAGCCAATGATTTTGTATAAAGGGTCCAGAATTCAAGGTCTTGAATTCAAGGTCTTAAAGAATTCATGGTTCCTTGTTGGTTGGAAGAGAATTACCTGTGTATACAAAACCTTATGTAAATTTTGGACAAGTGAAATAGAGAGTAAATTCTAGAAGATCATTAAAGTAAATTTTTTTCCTTTCTCTCCTCAGGCCTGAGGAAGGAACTCAAGAACTCGGAAGTAGGCTACAAATTACACGAGTCACAGCCACAGTCACATCTACAAGTAAAAAATGCTTTGACTAAAAGGTAATTGTAGATATTTAGAAATATAAAATCTTTATCAGAAGGGCGTAAATACACATTACTACTCTGAAAGCACTGAACCTGCAGTGTTGTTATGCTTGTGTTATTGGGGATCATTAAAATGATGGAGGCCTAAGGGTGGTCAGTTTTAATCCTGCTTACAGCATTCTTGTAAGGCAGACGGTATTTTACAAAAGAGAAAATTTGGTACTGAAATTAAGTCATTTGCCCAAAGCAATGGAGCTGAAGCTTGAGTATAGCTCTTACGTATCTAAAAAAACCTCAACTATTTTCATTGTTCTGCTCTATTTGAATTCCATGCAGTTCACATGAGAGAAATAATCATTCAAGAAAAATTAATATTTAGTGCGATGCGATAACTTTTATTCCCACCCTAAAGGTTAATTATGACCTAAATAAGGTTCATCTTTTGTTTTATGATTTTTTAAATTTCTAATCATTTTTATTTATTTATTTATTTATTTATTATTTTTATATTCCCCATACAATTAAAACCCCCTGATTTTGACCCCAATCCCTCCTTTCCCCACCCCCCAAATGTGTCTCTAGTTCATAGTTGTTTGTTGATTTTGATTTTTTTTCTTTCTTATAGTTATTCTTTTTCCTGGTCCCTTATTTAGGTTTTCTAGATTCCTGTAATGAGTGAGACCATCCGGTATTTTTCTTTTTCTTTCTGGCTTATTTCGCTGAGCATGATCCCTTCCAGCGCCATCCATATTGCTGCAAATTGCATGTGTTTATCTTTTTTGAATGCTGAGTAATATTCCATGGTGTATATGTACCACATCTTCTTGATCCAGTCATCTATTTTTGGGCATTTGGGCTGTTTCCAAAGCTTAGCTGTTGTAAATTGTGCTGCTATAAACATAGGGGTGCTGGAGCTCTTTGGAATTAATGTTTCTGTGTCCTTTGGGCAAATACCTAGGAGTGGAATTGCTGGATCATATGGAAGCTCTATCTTTAGTAGGTTGAGGAATCTCCACACAGCTCTGCATAGTGGTTGGACCAGTTTGCACTCCCACCAGCAGTGCAGGAGAGTTCCTTTTTCTCCACACCCTCACCAACATTTGTTGTTGCTGTTTTTTTTAATAGGTGCCATTCTCACTGGTGTGAGATGGTATCTCATGGTAGTTTTGATTTGCATTTCCCTGATTGCAAGTGACGTTGAACATTTTTTCATATGTCTGGTGGCCATTTGTATTTCCTCTTTGGAGAAGTTTCTTTTTAGCTCTTCTGCCCATTTTTTGACTGGGTTATTTTCTTTCTTTTTTTTTAAAGATTTATTTATTTATTTATGCATGCATGCAAGCAAGCATGCAAGCATGCACGCATGCATGCAAGCAAGCATGCAAGCACTGGGTACAGTCAGAAGCGTAGGAGGGTGAGAGAATTCACCAGAGCTAGAGTGGGGAGCAGAGCATGCAGAAGGAATGAAGTACACTGCTGAGGGGAGCAGCGGGCTGCAGGAGAGGTCTGTGCGCCATGCGGGACCCTCCTCCAGTGGCCGGGGATCAGCTGGGGATCGAACTGGCGTCGCAGAAGCTGCGGGCAGCTTCGCAACCCAGCGCTCAATCGCTGCGCCACTGGGGAGGCCCCATTGACTGGATTATTTTCTTTGTTTTTGTTGAGTCTCATCAGCTCTTTGTAGATTTTTGTGATCAGTCCTTTATCGTTAGTGTTGGGTGCAAAAATTTTCTCCCATTCGGTGGGGTTTCTCTTTGTTTGGTTATTGTCTCTTTTGCTGTTCAGAAGCTCTTTAATTTGATGTAGTCCCAGCCTTCACTATCACTGCTTTGGGTGATGCATCTGTAAAGATGTCTTTGAGGTGCATGTCATGTAGTTTTTCACCTATATTTCCTTCTATATATTTTATGGTTTCAGGTCTAAATAAGGGTCATCTTAAACAAATTGTTTAATTAGTACATTATCCTTATAGCATTTTATCTCAAAATTAAAGTACCTCTGTGTTTGGTAAACTTTGCTTTGTGTTTTGAGGCATTGAATTGTTTGCTTGTAATACTTTCCTGAAGTTCATGCTACATTTTATCACAAATAAATATAACTTCAGTGTAATAGCAAATGATGCGTTGGGAAGGTAAATTACAGGACAAATGTTGGTTTTCCTCCAGATTTGCATATTTGCATGTGGTATTTTATTTTGGGTTTTGTTTTTACATTTCAGGTCACATATAGGTGAAACCAATGAAAAATCATTCCCTTCATCCAGTTCACAAGTACTCAAGGACCATACTGCAAGAAGGCAGAACCACCAAGCAGATGAATGGAAACTTGAAAAATCAAGTGAATCCAAATTTTCTGAAAGGCTTAACACAGAAAATTCTGAGAGAAAAGGTTTACCTTTTCACATTAATGATACTTCTGAAAAGCGAGTGAACAGTCCTGAAATAGTCTTGCAATCTTCATTATGGTCTTCACACGTGAGAACCAATGAATTAAAGCAAGAAACTGCTCCTCTCATCCAGCAGCAAAATATGATGGAACCATGTTATTCTGTGAACTCTGTACCCAGAGAGCATTTAATTCAGTCAACCTGTAAGGCTGATGCTTGTCAGATGCCAAAGCTTGTTTGCCAGAATCCACCACCTCCTTTGCCACCAAAGAAATATACCATAACCAGTGTGCCACAATCAGAAAAAAAGGACCCTTTGCCTGATGCCAAGCTTACAGAGATGTTGAAAGCTAATTCTTCAGGTCTTCCAAAGCACAGTTTAAGTACAGCTTCAGAACCAGGTTTAGAAGTAAATAATTATGTCAATGATGAGAAACTTAAGGAAACATTTCACGTAAAAGAGCATGTTGGCAAAATACCATACTACACGTCCAGCTCTTCAGCTAATGATTTTCAAGCTAACTTGGGTACAGCTGTTGATGTCCTTTGCCAATCAAAAACAGACTCGAGTTCTTCTGTTCCAAATGAGACAATTGCATTAACTACCTATTTTTCAGTTGACAGCTGCATGACTGATACTTACAGATTGAAATACCATCAGAGGCCCAAGCTCTGTTTTCCAGAGAGCAATGGCTTGTCCTGATCATTCACTAGCTGAGAGTGAAAGAGGAGTAGGGCCTGTGGTATATATACTCTTGGTTCTAACTGCCCTTCTGAGCAAAGTCACAAACCTAGTATACACTGTAATAGGTGAGTGTGAAACCAGCAAGCTCGACCTTCTTGGAGGCCATTAAAATATTGTAAGAACCCACTGACCAAACCTAGTGACGTATAAAATTAAAATCATGGCAATTTTAAAGTCATCACTTCACCTTTCTATATACATATATGTACATGTATTTTCATGTGTTCAACTTACTGGATATTTTAGGAATTTCCTTTGATTAGTGTGGACATGCTTGAAAAATAGAAAATCTGGGGGTATGCAAAAAGTCACGTACACTCTGCTGTAGTTGAATAAAAAGCCCGTTATTGTTTGGCTAGTAGACCCATGAAATACTGAAAGTAACGAGTACTCAGATATGTGGATTGGCAGATCATGCTAGTTGAAGAATATCAGGCGACATGTAGTTTGGGTAGTCAAGGCAGTATTTGCTCGACGAAGAAGCACTTTCTAATGGGTAACCAAGAGGGCTTCACCCGTTTTTTTCTTGACTTCTGTGATAGTCTACTACATATGCTTCCTTCAAGTGTCTTATAAAAATATTGACCTATGAAATTGTTAACATTCTGGAACAAGAAAGCCTTAATGATTAAGCAGCTGAAGACAGGAGAAAATTAATCTGCTCCTAGATCTTTAATCTTCAGAATGCCTACTTAAGATAAATTAGGCCTTTGACTGTTATTTGTAAATTCAAATTATTGTTATTTGAAACATTACTTCAGCCATGTAAGCTAAAAATGAGTGGAGGACTTAAGTTTAGTATATTTATTTATCTTGTTACATTTTTTCCTTAATTTTATATGAAATGTGAAAGATTTTCATTTTGCTTGGTTTGCATTGGGCTGCTAATAACCAGCGTTAGGAATTTACCTGGGGCTCTGTTATTGGGAATGTCACTGTGATTATCTAAATTGCCCCTGCTATAATCTTACCTACTTAAGAGTCTTGTTATGAACCCATTTTACTGATTTTCAGGTTCTCAAATTTCTGCTTTTAGTATAGTTTAATGATATCTATTAATTTGAGCATCTCCCTTTTTCTAAGCAAATAGTAACTTTAACCCACGTTTAAGTTAAGCCCAAGTTTAACATTCGTGGAGAGGTCTTTATTTAAATAAGAAAGGAATTTTCCATTATGATGATTACAAGTGAAAATGAGTTACTTTAATTGCCTTATTAGGTTTCATTTTATTTTTTTATTAAGGTGGTAAACTAATTGTGGTTTTATTAGTTCTATGTTGTTGACTCCAGAGAATTGAGATTATAGATTTTCCTTTATAGTTATTAGTGGATAGATGTTTTAACTTAATCATGCTATAAATTAGTAAATTTATTATCTTGACAAAATCCTTAAGTTCAAATGTTTCAAAATGTGATTCAACACTTCTAAATTGAAAATAATTTATTCTAAGTCTAATAACCTCACTTAGTTACCAAATCTTGGTCAAATTTCATTTTCCACTTACTGAATTTTTATCTTTGCTAACTTTCACAATAGGTGGTTAGATTGTTTTAGCATAGAAATACTTGAATATCAATTTTCTTTTAAGAAAGCCTATTTTTAACATTTTTAGTATAGAGTAGAGGGTTTGTATATATTGTAAAGCTTATAAATTGTATTTGAAGTGTAAATTATTTAATTACTGCTTTTGTAACATTGTTAATTAGAAAAATGGTGTACTATGTTTTTAATAACTTGACAAATTTTTTTTTTTTAATTTTTTTGCCAAGATGTCCAGATGAAAATGTATTGAGGCATTTAAACTAATTTGTGGTATTTTACAGCAATATGGCAGATTTGTATTTTCAGCTCACAACTGAGTTGAAAACATCAAGAAGATATGTACAATTTGGGCTTTTTAAAGTACTGTGCATTTGAAATCTTCTGAATCATGTACTACTCTAAAAATTAGAAAGTGACCATTAGTTTCTATGTTGATGTTAACACTCCAAATACAGATTGAATATATTTACTAATCATTCACATATAAAATTTTTGTTTCTAGGGTGCCTATTTATTTTTACAGATGCTTTCATTACAAACTTATGACTTTTAAAATAATGCAGTCAACAATGTTCAAAGTAAGTTCAGAATGCTCTATTTTTCATGTGAAATCAGTTTATTCTAATTCAAAAAAATTTGTAAGATAAACTGATGTTTAAGTTATCATGGTTGGATCTTTCTTTGTATTCATGAACTATGGATTAAGTATTTTATGAGAACTGTAAGCAAATTGAAAGTTAGGGCATTGATGTGTACTATTTATAGTCTATCATAAAACTAATCTCTCCATTTCCCCTATACTAGAAAATTTGAGATTATTCATTAGGTTGGTACTTGGCTGATTTTAGGCTCAGAAAGATAGTGTGGCTAAGCAGTCTTTGTGACCTAATGCTAAGCTATTTGAGAACTGTTAATCCTCTTACAACCTCAGTAGCAAGTAGTTTGTTACACCAAAAGTAAATCAGACCAAGTAAAGCTATACAATTAACATTTATTAGACAAAATTATTAGCAGCAACACAAACACAGTTCATATAATCTGTTAAGTACACTTGTTGAAATCTCAGTTCTGTGCTTCTCTAAGAAGCTTCAATCTTTGCATTAAAGGTTGTCTTTCTGGTAGATGCAACAATATCCTAAAGGCATAACTGTTAACCTTAGAATTGACAGTAGGTAATCAAAACCTTCCAAAAATCAACTAATAGGATTTCATTGTAACCTTACACACTATTATAAAAGGTAAATGATGTAGAGTTTATCGGATCTATGCCCCGTTTCTAAGGGAAAAGAAATAGCTCCAAAATATTTAGGCAATGCACATGTCAAATGTCACCTATTTCAAAGATAAGAACCCATTTCTAATATCAGCATATAAAGGAATGTTACAAAATAGGGCTAGTTTCTCAAAGGCTTATAGTAGCTACTTTAGGGATGTGATCTTTCTCATTAAATATTAGCTAATCACTCCTAGAATGTAAATATCATTAACATATAACAAATCTATGTTTTGTAAGTTTCAGGGGAGGTAAACATTTTTTTTCTTGTTCACTGCTGTACCATGGCAGAGAGTTAAGTGTTCAAAATATATGTCGAATGAGTAAATATGTCGACTTTGGAAAAATAAGTTACAGATATTATTTTAGAGAGTTCAAGAATTTAAAAGTTATGAATAAAGGAAAAGCTCTCAAGTTATGAGAACATGCACACTAGATTTCCAATATCGGATATTACATACTTTCTAAGACTGTATCAATTTCAGAATAACACGGCCCCCCTTACATCTAAAACTTAAACTGGTACTTAACAGACAATACATTTAAGGCCTGCATTTTCTGCCTAGCTTTTAACTTCCATGAAAATCCTTGCTTTGGAGTAGTTTACCTCGAAGTACTTTGCCTTATTATTTCAACATATTAGCTGCATTATGTTAAATCCTGCCAACCTTAAAAATGTTAAAGGAAACACATTAAGATGCTAGTTTTAGCAATGATGGGTGAAATCATTACCCATTTAAAATAGTCCCAAAATGAGTAACACAATATATGAAATGAAAGTCCCTTAGAGGTCTGATATTCTTCTGTTGTACGATCCTGTTCTGTCTTCTTTGTTGAAGTTTGTAGTCATTTTCTGAATCCATTCCAAAAGCCAACTTGTTACTTTGGATATCAGGCAAATCATCTGTAAAAAAAAACAAGTAATCTGTCAGTAGTGTTTCCTTTTCTACCCATTTTAAATCTTCATGCCAACTTCTGAAAATCTTGATGGTTTTAGTCATAAATGATTTACATGTTGTTTGTAAATCTACTTCTTCTAAGGCTCCTGTTTTCAACCAATAGCTAAAAATGAAGTCATCAGAAAAAGAATCACAATACGAGATAAGTTTCTACCAAAGAAAGGAGGGAGGTGGGAAGAGTGAAAACAGTTCACAAATGGCTTGCAGAATTTTACAGAAATAGTCCTCATTTCTATTATGCCCTCTACCTCACCACAACCTAATTTGACACTATCCAAGAAATCTGAGACAAGGGGGCCTGAGATACAAAGAGTTTTTGCCAAGATCTGCAAAAATGTGGGTGTGGGTAAATTTAGTAACTGTCTTATGACAGAATGCAAACTTACAAGCATGAGGATTGAGAGAAGTTAACTCAAACTGAGAAATTCCAAATCCAGGTTAATGTCTAAATGAAGAGCACAGTTTTTCATGCAGAGGCCCCTCCCTAAGTTACTTCTTTTGGCACTGTCCCTCGTTAGCCTCTCAGTTCTGTTTCTCTTCTTATCCTGTCCCCCACCCTCTTAAGTTCCCCTGCAATAAATGTCTTTATAGTCAGCACTGAAAATATAGAATACAGGTCTTGCCAGTGCAATCTACAGAATTCTGTGACTTAACAGTGTGGTATGTGTGGGTGTGTATAAAACAATACAAAAAAAAAAAGGCGCTAGGTTTATAGGACTAATAAGTGGATAAAAGAGACCTTTATTGAAATGGGTACAGTGAGAAATAAGTATATCTAAGTAACGAATTGTTCAGAGTTCAGTTTTAGAACTAAGTTTGAGATTACATGACCTGCTCATGGTCAAACTTACACAGCAACAATAGCTGTAGCTGAGCACTGACGACTGCCAGACACTCTGTAAATAGATCTATTTTGGATGAATTAATAACGCATTTAATCGTCACCAAACCCCGATGAGCTGGTAACTAAAAAAGTGATAAAAATCAAGCTCCAAGAAGCTAAATAAGTTCTCCAGTGTCTTCATGAGTCTCGAGCAGGAACTCAAACCCAGCTGATTTCGTTCCAAAATATGAAAAATCCCTTTTTTAAAATTTATTAAAAAAAAGTCCTTTGTTGGCAAACCTCTTTTAAGATTCCCTCATCCCAATCCATCCTTCCCCGCTCCCGACTCGGTCACTCCCCGGCAGTCTGAACCTGCACAGGTCGTCTGCTCCATGGAATTCATTCTCCTCGCCTCCCCCACCTCCCACCAGCCCAAACAAAAAACCCCAAACGGAGGAGCAGATGGTCTCTAAGTTTCCTCCCGCTGCCACCGTGTATTCAAATACTCACCAGGGCAAAAGGTACACGAAGAAAAACAATACGAGGTCGAAGAGGATGAAGAGCCAGATATCTAACCAGTAGGAGTGCTTCGGCAACTGCGGGCCCCCGGCCCGAGGGCGCTCTGCGTGGTTCGGCCGCTGCATCCCGGCCTCATCCACGCCTCGCCGCTGCCGGACCCCGTCCGGGCCGCCTTCGGCCGCCGCGAGCCCCTCCATGTCCAGCCCGCGGCCGCACAGCCTCTCCCGCGCTCAATGGGCAGCGCCGGCACTTCCGCGTTCAGGCCGCCGGAAGCGCGGGCGGGTCCTACGGCCTACTCAGTCCGCCGGTCCGCCCCGGAAGCGCTCCGCTCTCGCCGCCTCAGGCTCCGTTCCGCGCCGCGGCCCCCGGCCTGCGTGACCGCCGGCTCGTCGCGCGCGTCCGCGCCAGGTGGAGCGAGCGCCCCGCCCACCGCCCACCTGCCGCGCGGGCTTCGGAGCAGGTTGTTCAGGTTTCGCTGAGAGATGCAGCGGCCGGAACGGAAGTCGCCGGCACGCCCCATGAGTAGCAGGTGACACGAGCCCCGACGGGGCAGCGCCTGTGTGAGGGCCCCTCGCTCGCCCCGTCATCATGAGCAGCCTTGGGCTGAGGTTTTAGGGGGGCCCCTCTGGGGACCCCACTCACTGACTCCTTGCAACAGCTGTAGGAGGTGGACAACATAGTCATGAGCGTGGACTCTGAGGGGGATAGAGAGCAAAACGTGAGAATTTTAATAGGATTTTCTTTTTTATATTTTTTAAATTAATATTTTATTTTTATTATTATTATTTTTTTTTTTTGTGGGACCCTCGCCGGTGGCCGGGATCGAACTGGCCTTGCAGAGGCTGCGGACAGCCTCGCAACCCAGTGCTCAACCGCTGCGCCACCGGGGAAGGCCCAAATTAATATTTTGTTTTGATACCGGAATTGTCAGGCCTAGTCTCCCAGCCAGGAACGGATCCCAGGCTGCAGGGGCAGCGCTGAGCCCCAGCCGCTAGACCCCCAGGGGTTGGTGTCTCACGAAGCCGCAGCAGGAACTTCGCAGACGCTCAGGCAAGCAAGCGAGAAGAGGCAGATTTGTTTATAGAAAGAAAAAGTTTATTGAGGAGGAAAAGAGCAGAAATAAAGTGGGACTCCCAGGCCAGGGAACCAGGCCTGGGAGGGGCAAGGAAGCCAAAGTGGAATTGTGTTTCAGGGAATATAGACCTTCTTTCCCTCATTATTCTAAAACTTCACCAGTCTCTCTGTGATTGGTTCGTTCTCGTCTGTCTCACTTAATTTGCTACTGAGTGAGGGATCTTCACATTCCGTATCTAAGAACTTTCTCTTTCCCCATTTGTTGCATCTTTATCTTTATGGCCCAGTCCTCTGGATGGACATCCCTGCATTACAGTTAAACAGCTGCCCTTCTGAGTTGTCCATAAATTAAACCACTCTCCATTTCCCCAATCTCCGCCTCCCTTTACCACCTGAAGGAAACCGGGACCAGCTTTAAAATGTTGTCCTTGGTTCTCGGATGTTTTTTTTTCCTAGTGGAATGGGTTACTTTCCCTTGCTTGTCCTTATCTCTGAAGCCTCCGTAAATTCTTCAGAGGTCCCCTCCTGCACTGTCCCTAAAACTGCCTAATTTCTAGCTTGCCCTGTGTCTCAATTTTATATAATTCTTAAATCTTTTTTCATGTTTGCACAGTGTATGCATTATCACTCCCATGAGGTTCGGGCCAAAACGTGAGGATTTGGCCCGAATCTCCTGGGAGTGAATTTAAGAATAAGCCAAAGGGTTGGGCGTGGGAGCCAGCAAGAGTAGAATGCGGGCAGAAAGGGGATGCTTGATTGTTGGGAGGACTGACCCACTTGGGGTATCCAGCTCTGCTTAACTAGGCTGCACATAGTAACAGGAGCCTGTGCACATGTTCCTTATTTCTGGTGATGAGGCTCTGTAGGGTAAGGAAAAATGTCAGGCTTTTCTGCCCTCCCGCCATCAGAATAGATGATGGATCCTTGTGGTCCTGAATGCAGGCCTGATGGCGGGCACCTGGAGTAGGGTGTGGGCATAGGTAGATGGGATTCACCTGGGCTGAGACTGGGCTTTTAGGGGCGGCGTCACGGGGACACCAGCAGAAGCCCAGAGAAACAGAGAAGCCAAGAACAAACGGAAGCCGAGAGGAGAAAAAAAGAAGCAGAACGCCAGAGAGGGCCCAGATAGCGTGAGGATTTGCTGGGGGCTAGGCGGCCTGCCAGCCTCCCCGACCCCCAGCCCCCCTGCCTGCCATATGCCTGGTAAATCTAAATAAAAGACCCGCAAAAGCCACTGCGGACTGACTCCTCCTTTACCCGGTCTGCTGGATCAGAAAACCTGCACTGTGGCCTGTTCTGCCCCTACTGGCTCTTTTCCTGCAGGGGGAAAAGCTCTTACAGGACATTGTTTTTTGTCTTGCTTTTAGGAAGAGAAAGAAAGGTAAGAGGTGCTTTTCTTGTTCTCAAGGACCTTTACTTCAAAATACTGTGTCAGGGTGGATTATTGTGGGGTCATAAGCTCTTTTTCTATTTTTTATATATTTTTCACATTTGTCATTTTCGCACAATGTATGTGTAAGGGGCAGGAATGGACACGGGGCAGGTTTTCTATGATTCCAGCAGATGGGATAAAGGAGGAGAGAGTCCTGCAGCCCTCAGTGGCTATTCAGGCTTTTATTGGGATTTTCCAGGCACATGGCAGGCAGGGGTGCTGGGGGGTCGGCAGGCCTCCCAGCCCCCATCAAGTCTTCACTCTTTTTGGGCTCTTCAGCATTCTCTCTGCTTCTCTTCCACTCTTGTGATTCTGCTTTTCTGCTTCTGCTGGCGTCCTCATGATGCCGCCGTTAAAAGCCCAGTCTTAGCAACAGGTGAATCCCATCTACCTGTGCCCACACCCTACTCCAGGTGCCCGCCATCAGGCATGCATTCAGGACCACAGGGTTCTGTCATCTATCCTGATGGTGGGAGGGCAGAAAAGCCTGATACTTTTACCTCACCCTACAGTATGCATCTTCATCTTGGTTATAGTCCCTATACAGTTCCCACCCACCTTGTTTTGACCCCAATCCCTCTTCCCCTCCCAGCATGTCTCTGGTTTATAGTTGCTTATTGATTTTGATTTTTACTTTATTATAATTAGTCTTTTTCCTGGTCCCTTATTTAAGTTTTCTAGATTCCTGCTATGAGTGAGACCATCCGGTATTTTTCTTTTTCTTTCTTGCTTATTTCGCTGAGCATGATCCCTTCCAGCTCCATCCATGTTGCTGCAAATTGCATGTGTTTATCTTTTTTGATCGCTGAGTAATATTCCATGGTGTATATGTACCACATCTTCTTTTTTTCTTTTTAAATATTTTTATTTATTTATTTATTTATACAAGCACTGGGTACAGTCAGAAGTGCGGGACGGTGCGAGAATTCACCAGAGCCAGAGCAGGGAGCAGAGCAGGCAGAAGGACCGAAGTACATTGCTGAGGGGAGCAGCGGGCAGCAGGAGAGGTCTGCGCGCCATGTGGGACCCTCCTCCTGTGGCCGGGGAGCAGCCGGGGATCGAACCGGTGCTGCAGAGGCTGCGGGCAGCTTCACAACCCAGCGCTCAGAGGGGAGGCCACTGTGGAGGCCCCTATACCACATCTTCTTGATCCAGTTATCTATTTTTGGGCATTTGGGTTGTTTCCAAAGCTTAGCTATTTTAAACAGTGCTGCTGTAAACATAGGGGTGCAGGTGCCCTTTTGAATTAATGTTTCTGTGTCCTTTGGGTAAATACCTAGAAGTGGAATTGCTGGATCATAAGCTCTTAACTCCCTCTTTTCTCCTGTCTTGAAACTTCCCCTGAAATTTCACTTAAGAGCTGAGCTGGTGTCTGGAGAGAACTGAGTTAGCAGCTGGGTGGGAAGGAATCTGCCAAGAGAGAACTAGAGTAAGTGGAAAACAACTAATCTAAGCACATTTCACCTGTAGGATAAATGAGGTGGTCAGGCTTTTACTCCGTGGCCTCTGTGGCCCTTGCCTGCGGCCTCGAGTGTGGGAGACGCAAGGGCGCGGGGCACACGCTCCTGATGGTGGCACCTGGAGCGCGGAGTGGGCATGTGCCAGTGGGCGCGCCTGGGCCTGGAGGCTGCGGCTATAAGAGCGGTGTCACCATGGAGGGCGGAAGGGCCGGGAAAGGACTTGCTATGGCTGGGGGAGGAAGAGCCCTGGAGACACCAGAGAGAGCCTAAAGAAAGTAAAAATTTCCCGGCCTCCCTGGCCCCCCTCCTTCCCCGTGCCTTGCTTCCACTACATTTGGCGAGAGTCGGCAGGATTCAGCGCACTTGGGTATGGAGCTCTCCAAAGACCTTGGGAGGGTTTAGGGGTGGCAGGCCACGAGCATGGAGAGCTGCTCTCTGGGCACCCCCTCCTCCCCGCCCCAGAAGTGGCCTGGGTGGATGAGTCCCTATGGTGCGGGTGGTGAGGACTCTGCACACAGTGGGGAGGCCATTGGGCAGACATGATGCCTGCTTGCAGACAGGGCTGGGGATGAGTGTGCCCTCACAGCTCTGCAAATGAAGGCAAGGAGGCGCCGTGGCATCACACCCCACATCTTGTTAAGTCAGTTTCGCATCCCCGAGACCTGTTCCCTTTGAAACGCTGAACCTAGTTTCTGTTGGAGAGCGTTTATCTTGTCTTTCAAAAGGTGCCGATTAGCTCCTGTCTGTCCCAAGCCAACTACTTGGAAGTAGCGTTATTCAACCAGGACGGCCCCTCGCTTCTCCTGGTTGGGTTTTCCAGAGCCAGGAGGGTTTGGAGTACAACAGAGGCTACACCGGGAACTTGTCAGAGAAGTGCTTGCTTCCTGTGTTTTCACGGTGATGTGGAACTCTTGTTCTGTTACTCTGGAAAGGTTCAGCCTTTTGCAATTAAGTCCGAAAGTCTGTGGAAAGGAATCTTAACTCAGAAAAGAATTTACCATCGTTAAACAGTGGGGTTTGTGTCATATCCTGTCTAGTATGCTCTGTGTGGTTCTGGTATGTTCTATGTGCCACTACTTAATGAACAAAGGAGCCCAGATTTGTAACTTGGCTGGTATGTAAGGCGGAGTGCCTGGTGATTGGCAGCAGGAATTCAAGTCGCACACCTTTATCTTATCATCACATAAGATTAAAATCAAGGAGTTTTTCATTGGGACAAGATTAGAATGGGGCTTGTCACCCACCAGGTGGGAGTTTGGTGTGTGTCGTCTTTCGTGCACCCCTGTCAGTCTGACGCCCACACTTTGGCCTTGGCAGCTGTAAGGCTTAGGTTTGTTGGCTTCACAGGTGTTTTGTATCAGTCCCAGCCTATTGCTAGTGCTCATGCGTGCAAATGCCCTGGGGCACGCACCTGGGCCCAGGTAAGTTTCTCATGGATCTTTCCCTGCTTTAGCCAATGTTAGACTGGACTAGCCCTCAGGGTTTTCATGGTTGCAAGATATCCATCTAGGAGCAATAACCATCAGAACACTTTGGAAAAAGTAAAGAGTTTTATTACTTAGGAGACCAGGAAATTACACAGTATATCTGGGCTACAGTGTGTGGGGTTGGGGTGGCGGCTGCGTTTGTGGGAGACGCAGAGAGAAAGAGCTAGCATGAAAGCATGCTCGGGGGGGTGCTGGGGTTCAGCTTTATTCAGGCTGAGGGTGGGGGTGACTAGGGTTTCAAGCACTTACTCCTTACTGGCAACTTCAAGTCATAAGAGCCGGAATTTAAAGCAGCAAAGAAAGACCCCTAGAAAATGAGAGAAACATGTTATTTCCAATTGACCAGTTACCTACTGTAAGGGCCGGACTGGACACAGTGCAGGTTTTCTGATCCCATGCAGACCGGGTAAAGGAGGAGTCAGAGTCCTCAGTGGTTTTTTGCAGGTCTTTTATTGGGGTTCACCAGGCATATGGCAGGCAAGGGTGCTGGCTGGGGGGCTGGGAGGCTGGCAGGCCTCCCAGCCCCCAGCAAGTCTTTACTCTATCTGGGCTCTCTGGCGTTCATTCTGCTGCTTCTCAGCTTCTCTTTCGGCTTCTGCTTCGGCTTCTGCTGCTGCTACTGCTGGCGTCCCCGTGACGCCGCCCTTAAAAGCACAGTCTTAACTCCGCTGAATCCCATCTACCTATGCCCACACCCTATTCCAGGTGCCCGCCATCAGGCATGCATTCAGGACAAGGATCCATCATCTATCCTGATGGCGGAAGGGTAGAAAAGCCTGATAGTTTCTTTACCCTACACCTACATTAGCCAGAGTCTGAAAGAAAGCCTCAGAGTGGGTGGGTGGGTGGGTGGGGTGTGTGTGTGTGTGTCTGGCTTTTTGGTTACCCATGTGTAACCTTTGGTATTTGGCAACTAATTAAGTGAGCAAGAGTTACGCTATGCCAGGCTGCACAAGGGTGGCTTTGGGAGCCAGCCGTGGTATCTGCTGATCAGACAAGTATGACCGAAGAGTCAGTGCCAAGGTTTATCACTTCACAAGAGGCTTGAGAACGCTCCCTGTTGACTCAAACCTTGTGTTGCCTCAGTATGTCAGCTGGGAAAGGCCCAGCATCATGCCTGTTTACAAGACTAAGGGGAAAATTGCCTCTGTAGGGCCTAACCTGAGCAAAGGGTGGCTCTTGAGTTTCCCTAGAGGTTTGTGTCCAGTTGACTCACCCAGACGAGAGGTAGACCCGCGTTGCCTTCTTGGGCATGTTTTCAGGCCCTGCTGTGTCCTGTCATCCACTTGTTTACGGCAGATGCTGCACCAGGCGCCCATGTATATATGTATGTGTATGGGAGGTATTGCATCTGTGCTGGACCTGTTGAGTAAGAAATGGTAAGAGGGAAACAGTTTTAAAGAACTGATCGTAGAATATCAAAGGTAAAATTGGAGACAGTCTTCGGGCAGCATCTTGACAGATGGCTGGGAAAAGGGCAAACTTGATTCAGAGAAGTATTTTTCTTTTTCCTGCTGGAGCTGGTGGAAGCGACCTAACTGGGTGTTTGGCATCACTGTCCAGAAAACCAAACTGAACCACCACAGTGTCTTTTCACAAAAGCATTTATTTTCTAGGTGACCACAAAGGGGGTCAGCAGGACTAACACCCTAAAAGCTGGTTCCTGAATGACAGGAGTGCTGTGATTTTATGGGGCGGAAGCAGAATGTGAAGTGAGGGGCTTCACATTCCCAGGTCCAAGCCAGTCCAGATGTCCTGAGTCACGGTGTTTCTTTCTTGGCAGATGTTTGTCCTTGACGTGATTATCAGCTTCATCGGAGCACAGAGAATTCTCATTAGAGATGTAACACACCAGTGTTCAAGCTCCCCGAAATACAGTTGATGAGAAATGCATTAGAGGTGAGTTAAACTTTAGCCACAAGGAGAGGAGAGAGAACAAAGGGTGGCTAGGGTTCAATTCTCTTTCGTCTTAACTTTTTTAGTCTAGGGGAGTTTTTGTAAGTTTGGCTGGGATTCCACTTCAGTGGGTAGTGGAATTTTGGGAAAACCTATGGACTTCATGATTTTGCTCTGTTTCTGTGGCTGGGAATTTCCTGGGGAAATTTTATTTTAAGGTCACCGTAGTAATGGCTTCCAGTTGTCTGGGAGTGCGGATCTGAATCTGATGTGGCAATCTGGAGGTTTTTCTTTCTTTTGTGACGATGCTTGGCTGTACATTGTACCTTCTCAGGAATACGCTAATGCGCTTTTCTAAAAACCCTGCTGTGCATGTGATGCACTGGTCAGAAGGGCTGGCTTGGTAGTCCACAGAGACCTTGTGCTTTTTATCTGTGCTGATATCCCTCAAGGATACTAGTTTAGCGCCTGTCTGTAACTTAGGCATAGCCTCCAGCTGAGCACCACGGCCGCACGTTCTCGCAGTTCAGGGAGTGCAGGTTTCGAGATCCCAGTACGCTCAGCACCCCCAAAAAATATTTCAAAAGGGGCCAGTTCTGTTTTCCACTTGGAATATTCCAGACTTTTATAAAGACGAGAGATGCTGCTTATCACCCTTTAAATTCAGTTTCTTGATACCCTTTGCCAAAAGTTCTTGATGTCTAGGTTTTTATATTATGTTTGCCCTAAAGATTATGAAAATCAGTACATGATATGAAATTTTCATTTCAAGTTTTGCCAGCACATGGCTTCTTTTTACTATGAAATGAATTCCGTGGTCTGACTCAATCCATTGAGGAATGCCAAAATAAGGCATCATCTCCGTTGCTGGTTTCTCCCCTGCTCTTGTGGAATTGGTGTGTCTGGCCTGACAGCATTCAGACCATGCACTAGGCGTCCAGGCAATAGCCAGACAGTGGGAATAGCCTAAAGCTGGAAGCACGTCTATGAAGTTTGTCTGCAGTGCCTTAAGGGGCCTTTGGGGCTTGGAGGATTTCCTAAGGTGTGTTGGTCTCCTCTAGAAATTTGGTGACATGTATAAGCGGTGCAGTGGAAAATAATTGGGTCAGAACTCTTGTGGCTGTGAGTGCAGTCACACTCTCGTGGTCCTGTGACTACCCCGCATCTGCACATGTGTCCCCTCTGATGGGAGGTAAGCGGAAGCACAAAGGAGGAGAGTAAGGGGACCAGAGGAGATCTCTTTGATCAATGCATATTAGGGCTGGTTATTGTTGGGCGTGCTTTGGTATCATTTGCTTTTTTCAGACTGTGGGGCTTTTGCTTGGCTGGTTAATGCTAGTCGTGGATAAAGACAGGTGTAGTAAGTAGGTGTAAAAAGGATGGGGTTCCATTTGGGGCTGTGTCTTTAGCAGTCTTGAGAGCCGTGTCCTTCCCAGGAGATAGTGTTGGTCTCCTCAGTGTGGGCTGCATAGCGACCTTCGCAGTTTCAACAGGGGGTGGGTAGCCTCGTAGGGTGACAACAAGATGCCTGTAGGCAGGAGGAGTACCAGAGAGTTTAAGATTCCACAAGATTTCCAGACTTTGGCAGAACAGCATGGTGGACTCCTCAAGTACATCTTTAGTCTGTAAGTACAGTTGTACATTCAGCAGCTTAGGCTGACTCTGTAGGGGGCAAAGAGTGTATTCAAGTATATAAAGTGGATAAACTGGGGCATAGGCTATAATTATGTTTCCACCACATTTGCTCTGTAGGAGCCCTCACATAATAGAAGTGAGCCTGGCTTGTCTAAAGAGGGATTTAAAAGATCCTCCTTGGCTTTGAGACCATGTCTGTAGTTGCAAAGCAGTTCTGTGGAGTGATGCTCTCCATCTCCCAGGAGGGTAGTAGAGTCCTTGGGTTTAGGGTTAGACTGATGTAAGGTGATAGACGGTTTGCTAAGTTTATTCGTAGGTGATTGACACTGTGGAGAGGTGTCAGTGTCTTAAAGACCTGTCAGAGAGCAAGGTGGGCAGCGTAATGGTGACTGGGGAGCCTACTGGTTAGGTGAGTAGGGAGGCTCTGTGAGTGCATGCCTGCTGTCACAGGTGCAAGTGGACATGAGCCCCCACCACCTCCCCAGGATTTTATGGCAATGTAACATGGAAGAGTTTCTCAGAATTAGGTAGGTCTAGAGTGATGGGTATAGTCAATGCTAGTATTTTTTTTAAAAGATTTATTTATTTATGCATACAAGAGCTGAGCACAGGCCAGGGGGCGAGGGCGGGGGGGCAGCGGTGGTGGTAGTGAGGGGATTCACCAGAGACAGAGTGGGGAACAGAACAGGCAGACTGACTGAATACACTGCTGAGGGGAGCAGCGGGCGGGTCAGGAGAGGTCTGCCGCGCCATGTGGGTTGCTCCCTGGCCGGCTGGGAATCGAATTTGTGCCTCAGAGGCTGCGGATTGCTTCATAGTGCGGTGCTTAACCCCTTGTGCCACCGGGGAGGCCTTAGTCAATGCTAATATTATGTATTCATGAGGTTAATGCTCCTGAGGGCCAGAAGGTTGTGCTAAGGAAGTACCTGGGAGGAGGCGGGGGGGAGGGTCAGCAAAGGTGAGACTGTTGGTGGAATAGCCATATGTCCCTAGAAATGTGTGTTCCTGGGTATCCCCCCTTCACTTTCCTCCCCCCAACTTTGGGGTGAGGAATACGAAATTGACTCAAATTGTTTTGGGATAAGTGTGTTCTGATAGGTAACAGTTGTTTGCGCCCACTGGGCTTTCAGGTCTGGAGATGTTGTGACGTCATTCAGCTAGTGCCTTTAGGGCGCAATCAACATACTGCACAAGGACACGGCTTGGTTAAAGACTGTAGAATTTAAGTTGGCTTTAGTATTTGGACAATACTGAGACAAGCAGTATCACTGAAGTTTGCAAGTCCACGTAATTGTCTCCTTCTAAATGTAAGTGCAAAGAGGAATTGCAGGTCAAGGTTCAGTGGGCTCTAAAAGAAGCTGAGCAGAGGTCAGTTTCTATCAAACGGTTGCTCTTGTGTTAGCAGCGATTAAGATAAGAATGGTGGCCAGCTGAGGGGCATGGGTGGTGAGGCACTACAAAGCAGATATGACTCCAAGGTCTTGTGCAAATCAATAGATTTGATTCCGCTCTGAATTAAATTTCCTGGCTTGCTTTCCTGGTGAGATTGGGGTGCGGAATTAATGATGAGAATAGCCTGCTGTACAGGCGGGGAGGGAAGAGCACAAGGGTGCTGTGATGGTGGGAGATTTCTGGGGACTACCCCGGAGGCGAGAAATCAAATATTGTACAAAAATGAACAACAATGTAAGGTAGTTAAAAAGGGCAATCAATTAGGGGCCTCCCCTGGTGGCACAGTGGTTGAGCGCTGGGCTGCAAGGCTGGCCGAAGCCTCTGCAGCGCCGGTTTGATCCCCAGCTGCCGTCGAGGGTCCCACATGGCACGACAGACCTCTCCTGCCACCCACTGCTCCCCTCAGCAGTGTACTTCATCAGTCAGCCTGCTCTGCTTCCCGCTCTGGCTCTGGTGAATTCTCTCACCCTCCACGCTTCTGACTTTACCCAGTGCTTGTATAAATAAATAAATAAATCTTTTAAAAAAAAAAAAGGTCAATCAATTAAAAAAAAAAATACCCTGCTGGAAGGCAGGTAAGTTCAGTTCCTAGCTCCGGTGGGCTCCTAATGGAGAGTGTATTCCTTGCCCAGGCAATGTGCACAGCTCTGCAATACCACCCAGCTCTGTTTGCATGTGAGGCCAGCAGCTCCCTGGCTATCACGCATGCTTCCTCTTCGGTGGCTTTTAGGTTGCGATGCCTTCCCATGGGGTTTAGCAGGAAGTTTCCTGGTCTGAGGGCAGGAAAATGGGCAACACCTTTCTCACTGCACTGTATGGTGGCATTGAACTTACATAACTAATTTTTACCTAAACGTTGCTGCTGAGGAGTCTGAAACTAGGAAGGCACGATAGGTATTTGGAGGACACAAGGATATTGGGCATTTGGAGATAGGGACAGGCAATTAAGTGGTCCAGAGACTGGGATGAGTTGAACACAACCCAGGTGACAGGAAGAGGTAGAGCACACGTGCATGGGTGTGGAGTGGCACCTCTGGCAGGTAAGAAGTCCTGTTCACCACCCCCCACTGTCAGTCTGCTGGTGGGTGCTAGGGCTCAGGGAAGGACCATTGATGGGATAGTGTCCCACACAAGGGTAAAAATGAACCCTGGAAGGTGCTGGAGTCGAGGGAGACAGTTTTTGAAGCTTTCCTTTCTTCATAGCCATTGAAATAGAAAACAAAGTCCTCGTAATAGCAGCCCCCACAGTCTCTACACCTGATGCAGGTCACAACAGTGTTTCCCCCAGCTACTCTAAATCTAGAAAGGGGAGAAGATCAGAGATTTTGACCATTTAAACTTTGAGCCCAGCAGGCACGATTCTGGGGGGTGTGACATGTTGAGAATTTTTATCTCTGCCAACTTGCGTCAGAGGACTCAGTGCCTATCAGCCGCAGAGGCTGTGGCCTGAGTAGGGCCCGCACATCTGGCCCTTGTCACTGCAGTCCCTATGCCTGTAGGGGAGGAAACTTCTACCAGCTTTGTGTCTCCCGCTGAGCCTCAGAATGAAACTGACAGAAGACAGGTTAACAGGAGAGGAGCATACATGTTTTATTTTTTTTTACAGTGTATTTGGTTACCTTGACAAGAGTGAAGATGTGATGTGAGCAGGGCAAAAAGCCTTGATACCTCTTAGACAAAGAATAAATAAGACAGGGGTTTGGGCTAGTCGCAGTGAATTGTGGAAAAATGACTTGGAAGATAAGGTTTACTTTAATGCATTTCTTCAGATTTCTAGGTCTTATTTCCTACCTCTGGTGATTAGAATGTTTCTCCTCCTGGAACAGGAAGGGCACCTTTCATGTAGGATTTCTAGCTCTGCTTTTCGGCAGAAAATGGAAGGTCTAAGTGCCATTCTTTTACCTACTGTTTTTCAG